ATGTGAAAATTGAACAGCCCTCTCTCAACAGAGGGGGAGGGATACGATATCATATATCTCCAGTCTACAACACAGTTCTTTCAGCAGTTCCAAAAAGGCTCCACACGCATTTGCACATGGTCCTGTGACCACGAGGACACAGATGAACCTCCAAGTGGCCTCAACAATTCTCTAAAAGAATGCAAGTGACCAGCTGTCTGCAAAGAATATAAATCCTTCCATTCCCCACCATACAGTCAGAGCTGAAGAAGCTTCTTGGATGAGAAACAAAACGTCTTCAAAGAAAAACAAGAAAGTCCAGTTGCCTCTTGAAAAGGCATCTTTGGGACAACCATGACCTGGATGACTGGTTGATTGAGGATGGATTGCAGTTTCTTACCTTATTACTATGTGCAATTCTTCTGTTAGGACTGTCCTCTTGATTGCAGTGTAAGCTAATTGAGCCAGCCAAGCTTCCATTCTTTGGTTGATGGTTTTGCAGTTGCCTTTGTCTGGGGGGGGGGGAGCAAGAAGGATTAGTAAAGGGACTAAGCAAAGAGAGAAGTGGATTTGACTTTGGCCATGTCCAAAAGACGTGGAGAAAAAAGGGTCCAGCTTCCTTTTTGTTTATTAGATATATGTTATTTACCACACATAGTAGGCAACTGTTCTTACCTCCCTCTTCACCTATATTAGCCAGACAGGATATATCCTTGATGATTAGGAGATAGCAAAAATATCAATACCTATGATAGTTAGACCCAGCTAGCTATAGACCTATCAGTCTTAATATATACACTATACACTAACCATTTGAACCACCACCACCACCACCCCAAAGGCAGAATTGGAAAAGAACAATCTTATAAGCACATCACTCAAATCAAATTAAAATTGGCTGATTTAGGTACATAGATATCAACTCTCTGATACCGGTTTTCCCTATATGGATCCTGATTTTATTCATTCAATGGCTGCCCTCCTACAACTCCTCCTTGTAAATGAACTCTCTCCATATCTACCCTGAATATGATTCACCTTCTGACTCTGATCCCTAATTTGTCCTTATTTACTCTGCCCATAAAATTTCTATGGAATTGTCTCAGGACACTAACCACCTTAACTGGCAGCAGTCTGCTCTCCAACCTCTCCCTCAAACCACCAGCTTATTCAACCCAAGTATTCCTTCTTCTGAACAATTATCCAAAGTCAACCCTCCTCCTCCTCCCCAAGAAAACCAACAAATTGACAGTTACATCTTATTAACAATCTCTCCATCCTCTCTTGGAACATACCGTAACTGGATGGACCCCAAAACAAAAAGTTCTAGCTTCTCTTGGATTTCGGTTCAAATTTGTTACTTTTGGGGGGGGGGGGCAGGAGACATGGAAGTTGGGGAAATTTTCAAGTATTTTTCTCTGCTAATCCCTGTACAATGTAGCTTGAGTTGGCAAACCCAGGAGGGGGAGGGCTTTGTCTATTACAGCTCCCAACCTATGTATTCAAATTGTAAAATAATTACCTCCGTTTGAGAATGTTGTGTCAGTTTTGTTAGTTTTTGAGCAATTTTCCTTATAATATATTAATTTCTATCTTCCTTTTAAACAGCTCCATTCACAGGTCACTCAAACCTGGAACCAGGTTGGTATCTTCCTTACTCTTTGTCTGAATATGTTTCCCAGGGCTTACATTCTAGTAAGTGGGGATTTCAACGCAACAGTAGGTCGTAATGATGACGTCTTCTATGATCATTTCAATGCCAGTCCCCCTAAAGAAGTATTTGAACTGCCATTTATGTTCAGATTCTTCAAAGATACAAAATATAACCTAGATGGCTTTAGTTTGCTACATCTCATAAACAGGCTTACCTTCAAATGTTACATGGCTCGGCCCAAAATGATTTCCCCAGGCAATATACACTTGGGTGAACTCACTAGTTATCCATCACAGATTTAATAATATCTAGAGATATGGCCCCTTGCCTTAAGCATTTTGGTATAGCCCCTAAATCTGAAAGTAATCACCTCTCCTTAACTCTCACTTGCAAAGTTAGGAAAGGACTAATTAGAAATCAAGTTAAGGCCCATTTAAAATGCCTGATGGAAGGAGCCTCTTATAGGGTCAGATGGAATAGCCCCCTTGAAGGTAGAATAGTTCAAAGGTTTACTCAGAGGAAGGAATGGCATACTTTTAAACCTTCTTTAATTTATGGGCGTACTCAAGCTAAAAACTAGGAGACTGTGAGTTTTAGTCCAGCCTTGGCATGAAGCCACTCTTCTTCGAGGAGTAGTGCTATTAAAACAGCATTCAAAACATCGTAAAGTTTGCTCTCAAAATCCACTGCTGTTGGGATTCCAATGGGTTTTCTACACTTAGACTTAACATATTAAAAGAAAAAAATAGCTTGACTGTGACAGACACAAGTGTTGACATACCAAACCCATTACCTCCGTTACACTGTGTAGCATACGTTTAAAACTCTATTTTCATGAGAGATTCTTGGATTCAGTTGCATATTTATAGAATAGAAACCAAGACCTGGGGAAAAAATGGAACCTTGATGTTATATGTTATACAGCAGCAAGATTACTCTATGCTCAGAAATGGAAGACCACATCAATTCCCACAAATGGAGGAATGGTTGCAAAACTGATGGAACTAGCAGAGATGGCTAAATTGACTGTACTGATTAAAGAAAAGAATACGAATGCTTTTATTGCTACATGGAAACCGCTTCTGGACTTTGTGCTTGAAAAAAATGAAATTTTGATTTTGGGTTTTACCGATTAGATAGATTTGTTGTTATCGAAATGGCTAGTTTACACTGACTATTTTGTAAAAGTAAAAAGTTGAGGCTTGATGTTGATATTCTATTTTACTGCACCAAAGGAAGTCGGAAATAAATGCCTTTTTTTTTCTTTCCTTCCCTCACTTTTCTATTCCCTTTCCTTTCCCTATCTTTTCCACTATTTACTTTTGTATTTTCTTTGTATCGTATGCTATAAACTAATAAAATTTCAAAATAAAAAAAAATAGAATACAAACCACACAGACAATAGGTTCAATTATCTGGATTCTCCATGATGAGTTATTTTATTTATACACTAGGTTAAAAAATACAAATATTTCATCATTACAAAAAAAGCTTTATCAAACTGTGTACATACAGAAGGGTTATCAAAGCCAACCTGTCATTAATACTTTATATACGTTTGGCTAATATGAGAGATACGCAGAGTAAGATTACTCCTCTGGATTAAATACACAAGCCTGCAGACTTTTGGCAATGGTCAAACTGTTTTCAAACATCAGCAAATACATTTTCATAAAAAGTTGAAAGCAGTTTTGTTGTTTTGAGGCTTAGTAATGGTAACAAAGTAAACTGACAAGCAGGACAGGCCATAATTTGCTAACTTGCAACTGGGTCTCATTGCCAGCAAGCAAATATGAGCAGGTAGCAAACAGCTTTAAGCAACAATAGGCTAGTCCTCCACAATTCCCTGCCACACTATTCATCGTGGCCTACTTTGGGACGCAAAGAGTTTGTAACATATTGCAGACAAAATGAGACAGATGTGTTTCCAACCTACGGATCTGCAGAAAAACAGATGTTGCCGATCCTTCATGCCAGAAACAAAATAAATACTTTTCAAGACACACAAAGCCATTTCTGAATAGTGACAGGCACTTGCTGATGAATGAAGGTGATATTCTTCTGATTGCCAAAAACTTGCATGGTAAGAACTTGAAATGAGAGTTGTCAGAATCAAGACCACAGAATTGAGATTTAAGCAATATCCCCCCCCAAAAAAACCTTTTAAAACAAAAAATAACAAAACTAAAACGAAACAAAAAAAACAGATAAAAATGCTTGCCTGCAGTTGAGTGGCTGATTCATATAGCCTTCTGGTATTTACATCTTCCAGGGATGATCTCCATTGTAAAAGAAGTTTCAGTTTTCTTTATATAGCTCCCCATTGTTGTCAATGCAATGTTTGCTGAGATTATTATTAATTTATCCACTGAACCTCTAGTCAAGACTATAAGAAAGACTGAGGCTGCCTATTAACAGTCAGATTTAGCACCAATCTAAGCCGAAGCTTCAAACACTTTTGGCAGTTATTTCCATCAGACAAAGTCCCTCTCCTGAACGTTCATCTTAATGGATTTAAAGTGCACAGAAACCACCAAATAATGTCTTCTCCCTACACCAACATCCCCTGCTATGTGCTTCAAACATGTATTCAAACCTTTCTAGGATTTTGAAGCAGCAAACATCATATATTTTTTGCCCAATATACAATTTTGAAAAGTTACACTTTGCTTAACTATAGATACATTTTATTATAGGACAATATGCAGTATATGCAGCAATACCTTTTGTTATTATTTCATCATTTATTGAATTGGCACTTTTAACTTGAAGAGAAAGACCACTTAATATTACAGGATACAGCGTCATTTGCCTTGAAGCAATGTATTTATGGCTACTTTTTATTTTTGTTATTACAAAGAAACTGGTAACACAAATAAAGTAGCATAAACAGGCAAACTCTTTGAGACTCCACTTTTTGTTGTTTTCAATTAATTTAAAAAGTATTTCACTACCACACTATATCCATGTAACTCCCGCAAAAGGTAATCTATATTTGCAAGACAAGCAAGACTGCTAAAAAGCAAGAGTAACTGCTATGCAGCAATGGACTTCACAATTACATGATTTTACATAACTCTACTACTGTCAAGTTTATACAACTGGTTTTTAGAGTATAACCATAAAAAGAGAGGTGCCAGCATCAGAGGTGGAGAAGCCCAGCAGCTCTAGCTCATAAGAGCAATGGAAAGGGATGCTGGGAGTTGTAGTTCAGCAACACCTGGAAGCCACAGATCTACATGAAGATACAATATCCAAAAAGAATAGTTCCACGCATCCCTTTTCAATTCCACCACCACCACCTCTGCAATTAAGCAACTTCAAAATTGGCTTGTTGACTGAGTCATACAAGCTGTTACAGGAAAAAATATAAATAAAAGTGCCTTGTACCACTATGCACAATTCTAGTTCATGCATGCACAAAGCTTTATAGGACTGCAGTCTTAACCATGAATTCCAGGCAATCCAAAGCTATTTTCTGTGTCACGCATTGAACGCAAATTAGAGGCAAAATGTCATGTTCAACATGATTATGTGTTACCTATTCTAAAATGTCTGCATGAAGATTACTTGTACTACTAAAAATACACAGATACAGCCACAAAGATAGATGAGAGCACATAGTAAATACATTTTCCATCTTATGACACTTCAAGCAGGCTAACACTGTCTGGTTAGTTTAATAGTCAGTTGTGATTATGTCTGATGGAATATTTTCCTTTTTGTAGTTGGGAAATATATAGTTTGGATTTGCTTCCATCAGACCTCTTAAACCACACTTCATCATGGTTAATTGTTGTAATTATAGCACTGAAAAGGAACAGGGAAAAGAGAAATTAGGAGCACATTAGTGTCCCTATACAACTGCAATATTACCCCAACCTGCATGGCAATTGATAAACAGGACTATAATTACTGGTAATAAAACTTAAAAGTTTTATAGCAAATGCCTGGAAAATGAAGGAAAACTAACAGAATACTACAATATTAATGCTAAAAGAATATTCAGTACTACTGCATTGGTTTGGAAATAATTCACTTTTTTAAACAGCTTTCCTTTGCCAAGAAAAAACATGTATGGACTAGATACAATAAGAGACTAAGTAAATGGGGAACAGTGATATCCTCAAAAGTTTATCTGTTTTGTTGCCTATCTATAGCAATTCTATAATAACCTAAGTGTAATCATTAGGTCTGTTTTATTTACAAAATAAATAAGGTAAAACAGAACAAAACTGGGAATGCTTATTTCACTTCATCGGTATTTTTTTTTCTTTTGAGTATTCATAAAAAGAGACAGATATGTATACTGGAGGAAGATATACTGCAACCAGTTTCAAAGACAATAAGTTAAGGTTTACAGCTATAGTTCTTGGAAAGCTAACACAAAGGCTACGATATACCGCATGAAGAATATTCTTCCTATTACAAACAAATGAACTGGAAGATAAAACAGAAAAAAATGGTTGAAGTGGGGGGGGGGAGACATTGAGCTGCAAGTTTTCCATATTTTATATTCCACAGGAGCCCTGGTGGCACAGTGGTTAACATGCAGTATTGCAGGCTAACTCTACCCACAGCCTGGACTTAAATCCTGATGAGGCTCAAGGCTGACTCAGCCTTCCATCCTTCCGAGGTTGGTAAAATGAGGGCCCAGATTGTTGGAGGCAATATGCAAATAATGCTTCTACATTGGAAACCACCCAGAGAGTCCTACAAAGCACCATGGGGCAGTATATAAGCCTAAATGCTATTGCTATTGTGCTCTGGCTGCTGCTACCCTACTAAGGATGCTTTATTATGAACTCTCACCGTCAGCAGCTGCACAACTATTATGCCCAAATTAGCTACATATACCTAAATCAGCTAAGACAGTAGGGAAAAAAAATCTTTGAACTGTATTCAATTTATTTTAAAAAAGTCATACCTTGTAGGGCATTCATCTTTCCTATCAATACATATTGTCTGTCCACGTCCATACCATTCCCCATTATAATAGAGTTTTCCTTCCTCAGATCGTGTGCTGTGTAGGTGTTTTTCCAACTTGACAGGTGCTGAAAAGAAGCAGCATAGACAATGCTGATGAAATGTAACAGTTGCTTTAGGAAGCTGATTTCTCTCTACTTTACATCCTGTTAATACATGCATGAGTGATTTTGCCTTCTGCTCTTAAGCAGAAATAGATTGTAGATTCTTACCAAAAATGCATCCATAAGAATAAATTTTCTTGAGCCAGCTATGTAAAATTTAGCTTGGGATCTAAACTTTGTCTATTGCTGGCTAAATTTATTCATATTATAACAATGTTTAAATAGATTTATTATTAATATTATTATTATTATTATTATTATTATTATTATTATTATTATTATTATTATTATTATAAGAATACATTCTAAACACATTTATTGATTGGTTTGATCTAGGTACCACCTGCCTCAGACCAACTCTTCTCAACTTTCCAAAGTAACAAAAATTGCCCTCAAATCATCAAGGGCATGAATCAGTTTCCAATTACTGTCTTTTTCGTATTTAAATCTTACATTCAGGTAGTTGCTAGGAACTGTAGCCTAACTTTTAGGGTGGGAAAGGAAACAGAAAGTGGGAAGGAAGGCACTGTGGATATTGGTACTGTACAAAGAATTACAACAGAAAAAAAAGGGGAACTGGCTGCATCATCAGTGAATTCGTGGTCACAGTGCCTCTGCTTTTCAGCAGCAGTGGAGTAGGGCATGATAACTGTAATTGGCTACTCTATGAATTAACTGCAAAAGAGTAAAGCAAGTTGCCTTACGTTCTGCTTTCACTCTATGTGGTCCCAATGTAGCCATTGCCTGAAATTAAAAAAAAAAAAGTTTTCATTTTTAAAGAAGTCTATCTTCTAAAGAAATTTCATTTTAAAGAACAATTTCATGACAACTCCTATGAAAAAACTTTATGGAAACATAGACAACTTATTCTGAAGAAGTGTGTATATTGCAACTGAATAGCGCAGTGATTAGAGCACCGTCCTTTGACGTGGGAGACTGGGGTTTGAATCTCAGTTGGTACTTATCTTACCAGTAGAGGTCCTTGGGCAAAGTCTCCCCCACCTTCCATCTGCCTACCTCAGGATACGGGTGATATGACCCAAGAAAGTCATGCCAGTTCAGATTATCCCCCAGATTAATAAGGTCTGCACTAGATGTTGCAGAACCAGGACAATCTAATGAAAAGTGGGCTATCGGGATAAACCATACATGGACAAAATAAAAGAACTTGGAATGCTACTGCAACAGTAGACCGAATGAAAGCGGATATGTGAAACGTATGAGGGAACTAGAGATGGACAGAAAAGACCCACATTAACTGAGAAACAATTGCCCAACACTTCAATATAATAAAAAAGAAATGAGATAGACCAACTATATATTACATCCCAGACTCAAGAAGACTCAGAAGAACTGGATATGCAGCCAACATTTGAACATCACTGCCACACCCTTCATTACAGAGCAATTGATGTGGATAAGATCATGGATAAATCAGCTACACTCAATCCTCAAAATCAATTACCAAGGTTCAGTGTAGAAGTACCATATGATAATATGCTAGAAGATTACAACAGAGCCCTAACAACCATCCCTACTACCACCATACTCAAAAACCAAAGGACTGGTATATGCTACAACTGCTGTAATTCTGGAGATGTGTTTTTAATATGAAGAACAAGTGCTAAGCACCAGATCAGTTGAAGCATGGGGTCTAACACACTAGACAGAACCCAAAGTGCAAATTGTGCACAGAGGCCTCAGATAAATAGACATATTCTATGTATTATATTTGGTAAGGCATGTCCCATTTAAATGCATGCTGGAAGTAATTATTACAGGTGCATGCTGAAAATATTCACCTTCTTTTCAGTTCCTTAAAAATCACATGGCTGAATTGCTCATTCAGCCTTGTGATTATGCTAGATGATTATTTTCTTTCTTGTTTCAAATACAGTGGTACCTTGGTACTCGGTGGGTCAAAACCTGTCATATTTGGTACTCAAAGCATTTTAAAGTGAAAATGTTGTCCGGGTATTCATTGTTTGTGTGGTCCTCGATGTGCTGAAATAGGAAAAGGGGGATGACTACAGAGGGCGGACAGGAAGTTGGCTTTGTTGGGAAAGTAGCTGACATAGGAAAATGGACAAACAGGAAGACCTTCCCAGCCAAAACAAAGGGTCATGTGGTAAGTCATGTGGTTTCTTTGGCACTTTTAGTACTCATCGTGCTTCCTGGAACCAATTAATGACAAGTACCTAGGTACCGCCATAACTGAATTTATACACACATTTTGTAGGAGCAACCTATCAATCCACCATCAAATCAATCAATACCACACACCATCATTTATCTCTCTTCGTACAAAATAGTTACAGGATCATCTTTTTCTTTATTTGCATAGTCTAAAAATGAACATATAAATATGACTTATAAATATTTTAAAACTAGGCACTTAAAAATATACATACCTTCCTTATTGTTGTCCAGTCTTCAAGTATATCAAGATCTTGTAGCATATACACAATATAGGGCCGTTAATATGTTAAGGAGGTTGTACTTTTTCGAAAATGGATCACATTTTAAAAATCTATGTGTCATACCCACCAAGTAGATCAGATCAGGAATCAACTGCATAAGAAGGCTAAGACTACTTTCCATAAATTCATAAATTATTTTCCCACATTTATTTTCAAGCACTGAGATTTAAATTAAAATGAATGCATTTCATTGTACAGCATGAATATCCTTTCAAGCTTGAAGGAAAAAAAAATCTGCAAATCTTTTTCTGGAAAAGAAATCTGACCTACACATAAATATAAAAGTCTTAAACCAGTGAAAAGAAATCTGGGATAAGTGTGTTCATAACAAGATGCCAGCACCAATCTCTTTATTACTTTTTGGATGACAATATTTAGAGGGATTAATATTATATTATATTGCTCACACTAGACATATAGAATGAAAACTACACTGGTCAAATTTATCCTTAGGCTCTATTAAAATATGATGCTCATGATTTTTGTCACAGTCTTCAAACTACCATCCTGTTTCCCCATGCATGTTTTAGGAAAAGTGACAAATAAGCAACAATGTAAGTGAACTAACTATACCCAGTTAAGTTATAAAGAAGAGAGCTAATTTCATGTGGTGGTTATGTAGCAGGCCAGAAACCAGGAGTCTTAAGAGTTCTAGTCCCTACTTAGGCACAAAAGCCAGCTGGGTGACCTTGTTATAGTCACTCTCTCTCAGTCTAGGAATAACCGAATGGAAAAGCATTCCAAATTCTTGCCAAAAAACCCCAGCAGGGGCTAGTCCAGGCAATCACCAGGAGTCAACAATGACTCTAAGGCACGAAAGGGAAAAAAAAGGATAGGATAGGATAGGATAGGATAGGATAGGATAGGACAGGACCTTGGAGGTCTTCTAATCCAACCCCCTACTTAGGCAGGAAACCCTATACCATTTCAGACAAATGGTTGTCCAATCAATCTTAAAAACTTCCAATGTTGGAGCATTCACAATTTCTGGAGGCAAGTTGTTCCACTGATTAATTACTCTAACTGTCAGGAAATTTCTTCTTAGTTTTAGGTTGCTTCTCTCCTTGATTAGTTTCCATCCATTGCTTCTTGTCCTGCCTTCAGGTGCTTTGCAGAATAGCTTGACTCCCTCTTCTTTGTGGCAACCCCTGAGATATTGAAACACTGCTATCATGTCATCCCTCGTCCTTCTCTTCATTAAACTAGACATACCCAATTCCAGCAACCGTTCTTTATGTTTTAGCCTTCAGTCTCCTGATCATCTTTGTTGCTCTTCTCTGTACTCTTTCTAGAGTCTCAACATCTTTTTTACACCGTGGTGAACAAAGCTGGATGCAGTATTCAAAGGGTGGCCTTACTAAGGCATTGGAAAGTGGTATTAACACTTCACGTGATCTTGATTCTATCCCTCTGTTAATGCAGCCTAGCACTGTGTTGGCTTTTTTGGCAGCTGCAGCACACTTCTGGCTCATATTTAAGTGATTGTCCACTAGGACTCCGAGATCCCTCTCACAGTTACTACTATTGAGCGAGGTACCACCTATACTATACCTGTATTATAAACACTCTTGATTTGTAATAGAAAGGCACGGAGAGATAGGTTGAAAAGTATTGATTTAAACTAAAATTAGTTAGATTTTCTTTTTCTTTAGCCTTATCTCCAGCATTTCATTACTTTTGTTTACTGCTTCTTACTCTTTTTCAATGCTTTGCACAATGTTGCTTATTCCAAAATAGAATAGCATGATGAATGTATATTTATGGCAGCCGTTAAAGGATATCCGATACAACAACCGGTTTTTTCTTCTCTGGACTAAATAGATCCTTTCTTTTTTTCCTAGACTGAAGTTCATCATTCCATAACTCTGAGAAAGAGAAAAAATGTTGCAATTACACATTTTTAATCCCACAGTTCATAGGTTGAGTCTCTCTAAAAAAACAAACATCTACATTTGGGGGGAAAAGCAGGTTTATATCTTAAATCGTATTTAAGAAATTATGAGGACTACTTTAAAACAGTAAGTAACAAAGTTACCCAAACCGCCACAAGTGTTTATTTTCCCTTATTCCATCAACACACTTTCTTCCTCTCTTTCAAAAACTGTCCACCTTCAAATAGATCAGGTGTTCAGAGAATGGGGAATTACGGTATCTTTATTCATGCATCCTTTAAGTCAGGGTTCCCCAGTGGTCAACATCAACCCCTAAGAGACAATGAGATTATCCGGGGGGTGGGTGTCATTATTGTTATTGATGCTATCAAAGTGGTACTTATTAAATTATTTTCATATAATAAATATTTGAGAATCAATGAACAATCTGAAATTTCATGAAAGGGTCAATGAGCTGAAGAGATTGGGGACCCTGCTTTAGGTTAATTTTAAGTACCACAAGGCATCAGGGAGCAAACCTGAGGCTCATTAAGAGACATTAGGTAGCTCAATTTTTCTCAACCTCAGCAAGTTTAAAATGGGTAGATTTTAACATTCAGCATGCTAGCTGGGAAATTCTGGCAGTTAAAGTCTACCCATCTTAAAGTTGCTGAGGTGGAAGAACAATGAGCTAGCTGATCAAATTTTTGAGGTAGAATATACAAGTAGAAGGTAAATCTAAAAAGACAACTTAAGACTCTTGTTAGTCATGTCCGACCCATCGCGACCTCATGGACGTTCCTCCAGGGCTTCCTGTCCTCTACCATCTTCTGGAGTCCATTTAAGCGCACGCCTACTGCTTCAGTGACTCCATCCAGCCACCTTATTCTCTGTCATCCCCTTCTTCTATTGCCCTCAATCTTTCCCAGCATCAGGCTCTTCTCCAATGAGTCCTTCCTTCTCATTAGGTGGCCAAAGTACTTGAGTTTCAACTTCAGGATCTGGCCTTCTAAAGAGCAGTCAAGGTTGATCTCCTCTAGGACTGACCTGTTTGATCGCCTTGCAGTCCAGGGGACTCGCAGGAGTCTTCTCCAGCACCATAGTTCAAAGGCCTCAATTCTTTGGTGCTCAGTCTTTCTTATGGTCCAACTTCCACAGCCATACATTGCAACTGGGAAAACAATGGCCTTGACTATACTACTTTAAGACTCTTAATTTTTCTCAATTTGTTTTGCAGACAAAATAGAAGCTCCAAAGATAAACCAAGTAAGTACTACAATTCACTGCAATCTTTATTACATGGATTCTAATTAATTTGGGTAGTGACTCATTCATTCAAGCTTTATCTGTTGAATAGTAACTTACCTGAGGTAATGTCAATACTATGTCGGTCTTCTTCAAGTCGTCTGATTTTCTCTTCTAATTCACTCTGAACAGTATCATACAACAAGAGCTTTTCACTCTGAAAGGAAAAATTAATAGGGTATTCACACTGAAAGGTCATCCACAGTTACGTGAAGCAGATAACATCCTCACAAATACTGTAGAGATGTTCTCTTTTCACAGAAATTCCAAGTGGGTATATGTCACAACAAGCATTAAAAGGGATTTTCTTGCCCCAAGTAGTATTTAAACTCCATAAAATAAAAAATCTAATTTCATAAGTATGGCAAATGAAAGCCCACTGAATAAAGGCAACAATAAGAAAAAGAAAAAGAGAGGCACATGAAATTCCAGTAAAACAGATTCCCTAAACATATTACAGTTAGAAAGGAAAGAACTCCACTTTTTAAAAAAATGTTTTATAACTTGTAGCTACCGGTACTCTAAATAAAGGGCAGACAAAATAAAGGAGACCCTGAAGTTTTCTAAATCCCATTTATATATAAAAAGAATTCAGGTGGCAAACTTTTATATCTGTTATACTCATCCAGATCTGTTTTGCCCAGTAATGATCAGCCTTGCCGCCAGACTGCTCTGCAAGCAGGAATTTGAGATTCATATAAAATGCTGATGCACTAATATTTCTGACATTGTTTGAGCAAAAATCCATATGACATGACATATGACATCTTCAACTATTCAGCCTGGAGCTACTGACAAAGCCCTCTGCTTCCATGGTTGTTTAAATTTGTGCTGTACATCTTCAAATGAATAGAATAGAGCTGGAAGGGACCTTGGAGGTCTTCTAGTCCAGCCCCCCGCTCAAGCATGATTAGGGACTGTATGAGAGGTAATGTAATGATATGTGGGGATGATCTTGCGAGACGGAGGGAAGAGCCACAGCCAGAGAAGTTGGATAAGAGGCAGCTTAACCTGCAAAAGGAATGCGGGTGTGGCAAACAAGGATTCTCCCTTTTTTCTTCAGTTATAAAGGCAAGGGAGGGGGAGGGAAGAGAGAAATGTATTTTCAGACTTGCAGGATTCTGTTAATGTAACCTTGTGATAAATTAGAATTAGTTCACCTAGGCGCGCTTCCTTGCAAGGCTTATCAAACTGGCAATAAACTGTGTCCTAATGCCTTCCTCACATTAGCATAAGACAGGGGTGTCCAAACTTTTTTCAAAGAGGGCTAGATTGGATGAAGTGAACGTGCTGGAGGGCCGAACATTTTTCCGAACATTCTTTGAACTATTACAATTAAATGCAAATGAATTATTTTATGCCTCTTTCCTCTCCCTCTCTTTCCTCTTTCTCTCTCTCTCTCTTTCCTTTCCCTTTCCTCTCCCCTCTCTCTCTTTCTCTTTCCTCTCCCCCTCTTTCTCTTTCCTCTCTCTTTCTTTCCTCTTTTCTCCTCTTTCCTCTTTCCTTCCTTTCTCTTTCCTTTCTCTCTTTCCTCTCTTTCCTTAATTTCTCTTTCCTCTTTCTCTTCTCTTTCCTCTTTCTTTCATCTCTCTTTTCTCTCTTTTTTCTTTCCTCTTTTTCTTTTTCCTCTCCCCCTCGCTTTCTTTCTCTCTTTCCTTTCTCTTTCCTCTCCTTTCTCTCCCTCTTTCCTCTTTTCTTTCTCTTTCCTCTTTCTCTCTCTTTCCTCTCTTTCTCTTCTTTCTTTCCTCTCCCTTTCCTCTCTTCTCTTTCTCTTTCCTTTCTCTCTTTCTCTTTCCTTTCTCTTTCTCAATCTTTTTTCTCTTTTCTCTTTCCTCTCCCTCTTGCTTTCTTTCTCTTTCTTTTCTCTCCCTTTCTCTTTCCTTTTTCTTTCTTTCCTCTCTTTCCTCTCTTTCTCTCTCTCTCTTTCTCTTTCCCTCTCTCTTTCCTCTCTTCTCTTTCTCTTTCCTCTCTTTCTTTCTCTTCCTTTCCTCTTTCCTTTCTTTCCTCTCCTCTTTCTCTTTCCTCTAACTTTCTCTTTCCTCTCTTTCTCTTTTCTTCTCTTTCTCTTTCCTCTCTTTCTCTTTTCTTCTCTTTCTCTTTCCTCTCTTTCTTTCCTCTTTCTCTCTTTCCTTTCTTTCTCTCTTTCTTTCCTTTCTCTTTCCCTCTTTCCTCTATTTCTCTTCTCTTTCTTTCCTCTTTTTCTTTTTCTCTTTTCTCTTTTTCTTTTTTTCCTTTCTCTTCTCTTCCTCTCTTTCCTCTAACTTTCTCTCTCTCTTTCCCCTCTTTCTCTTTCCTCTTTCTCTTTCCACTTTTTCTCTTTCCCTCTCTCCTCTCTTTCTCTTCTCTTTCTTTCCTCTTTCTCTCTCTCCCTCTCCCTCCAGGTTAGGAGAGAGAGAGAGAGAGAGAATGAAAGGCAGATGGTGCCGAACGGGCGGGGAGAGCAGGACGGAAGGTAGAAGCTCCCGGCCGCCCCCCCATCGCTTCTTCAGCCGAACAAGCAGGGAGGGGCAGGGAGGGGGAGCAGAACGGGAGGCAGCGGCTCCAGTGGCGGCGGCCCCATTGCATCCTCAGCCAAATGGGCAGGGAGGGGGAGCAGGACAGGAGGCAGCGGCTCTGGCGGCAGCCACTGCAGCATCGTCGGGGTCCCTGTCGCCGCCCCTGGCCCGGCCGCCGCCCCCGCCGCATCCTCAGCCACTTCGCCGTCTTAAGAGGAGGGCGCCAAGGCCGGGTGCACCATGGGCGGCCGCGCCGGCAATGGGGAGTGCCGACGAGGGGGGTTCCCGATCGCCGCCAGCCCCGCCGCCCTCGCATCCCAAGGTCTCCTTCTCCTGCAGCAACGAGGGCAGCAGCGGCAGCTCCCTGAAAGTGCCCGAGGAAGGTGCCACCGATGGGGCCAAGGTGGGGCCGGGCGGCGGAGAGCCCTGCAGCAGCCAGGCGAGCTTCATGCCTGACTGCCGTCCGGCCCGGGCTGGGGAGACATGTGGCCGGTTCGGCTTCCCGGGGAGCGATGCTCCCGCTGGCCGCCGCACCAGCCATGACTGCCGCCCAGCACGGGGAGACATGTGGCTGGCTCGGCTGCCCAGGGAGCGGCCCAGGAAGCGATGCCCCAGCCGAGACTGGAACAAGTAAGCCAGGAGGGCGCACCACCTGCCCCGCAGCCACTTCGCGGCAGTGCTCCATGAACTCAGAGCCCCCTCCCTCCCCCCGGCACTGACCCTCTGTCTCCAGCTCTGCTGCTGCTTGGCGCCGGCTGGGCATCGGAGGGGCTGCTCTCGGGGCCGCGGTTTGCGGGAAGGCTGGCCCGCTCAGCGGAGGCTCGGGCAGGCCACTCCCAGCGGGGATCTTGGGGCTTCCCGCATGGCTCCCCAGCCACGTGCGCCTGGGACGGGGCCAGCCTGGGAAAGGGACTTCCTGGCCGCCCTTCTCCCAGAGGGCGGGGCACCCGGGCGCAGGGCCAATGAGGAGCCCTGCGAGGGGGCAAGTCCCATGAGAGAGAGAGAGAGAGAGAGAGAGACAGAAGTGCAAGTGCAAGTGCCTGTCTCTGTCTCTCTCTCTCATGGGACTTGCCGGAGGGCCGTGGGAGGGCCGCATTTACATAGAGCAGGGAGGGCTGTTCGAGGGCCGGATTAAACCGGGCCGCGGGCCGCAAATGGCCCGCGGGCCGGACTTTGGACATGTCTGGCATAAGATTTTGATCTGGAGACAGGCTTTAAGCCAGGGATGTCAAACTCGCAACGTCATGTGACATGTCACGACGTATCGTGACTTTTTTGCCATTGCCGGCAATGGGGTGGGCGTGGTTTCGCTATGATGCATCCAGCCTGTGGGCCGGCAGTTTGACACCACTGCTTTAAGCAGTTTCTTGGTTCATTGAAAACAAAAAGCTGTGTTATCAAAGATTTCACCAAAAATAGGTGGTATGTATAAGATCATGGGAAAGAAGTGAAGTAATTTGTCCCCGTTCATTTATCCATCAAATTTGCATTCTGCTGTAATTGACTAAAGACTATATATAGTCCAAGATTATTATAATTGGGCTTTACCATCATAAGTAGGAATCCATTAATCTTATAACTGTTTCTGGTGTCTTTGATAATGTATTTTAATATATAAAAACCATACAAGCTACATAAACAACTTTGGGAGGGCATGTATAGAATTTACTGTTAGGCTTCATGAAAGCTCTATCCTCTTATAAAACAATGTTTTATTTTATTCATTCATTTCTTCATTCATTCATTCATTCATTCATTCGATTTCTATAGCCATCCATCTTGGCAAACGACACTAAGCAGCTCACAATTCAGAAACATACATTACGATTAAGTTCTTAAAAAGATTTTAAAAACAATAAAAACAGTAAAAAACATTAAAACACTAAAAATATTAGTTATATGGTTTTATAGTTTTAGTTATAGCTGTATGCCTAATTTTTTAAGAAAAAAAATCAAATTCCATTCATTACTCTGATCTCATTTAATAATACTAAATACTTTACGAACAAATTGAATTAAATAATATTTGAATGGTTTTTCTTCTTCCTGAGTATGCAGTTAATATGCCACAACAGAAGTGCTTCTTGAAACTAAAACTGCACACAAAATATGCAAAAATGTGGTTTAAGTGATGTTATAAAGCTGATACATATCTTAAAATAGCCTGGGTAAAATTTATGCAGGATGTATATTATCTTAAGTATACAAAAGCTGGAGTCATTTGATTCATTATAGGCTTTCAACCTAACTTCAAAAACATATTAAAAACATTTTTGAGTAAGAATTTTACAAGAACAATTAATAAGATTAACAAAGCTGTCAAGATATTTTAAAGCAAACTAACTGCCTTTTTTGTAGATGTAAGTATATAATATTTTCAAAATGTCCTTCAAATATATAGCTTAGTATAGTGAGTTTATTACCTCAGAACTAAGTATAATCAATTATATTAAAACATTTCCAGCGCAAAACAATACCTCACAATGCTGCCGGGAAGCCTGGATTTCACATTCATACTTGTTTTTCACGGATTCCAAGCAGAGTTCTCTGTAGATACCTATAAATAAATATTCATTTAATATTAATTGGAGAAGAGAATCATGGAATGTATTTCCAAGCCATTCTGAAAATTCCCAACAGACAAAAGGTGGGATTTACAAAAAAAATTTGCTTTACATCTCCATTTGTGCAAAGCCTAAATTAGTTTTAATCCCAATCCAATGAGATATTTTCCCTGGCTTTACAAGGCTCAAGTGCTCCTCTGAAAATTATATATCTTAACATTATTTATAAGAGTATTTGTTATGTTACTGTACAGAAGAGTTATAGACGTTGAGCACTGGTTGAATTAATTATTATTAGAATTGCTCAGTGAACATTAATTCAGACCAGCAAGATGGGCAGCCATTAAAGTTTATAGTCCATTTATTAATTGAACAACCCTTCTTCCCTCATTTTTAAAAAAATTCTAGATTAGTTATACATTTGTTGAATGGCTGAAAAAGTCAAAATCAAAAGGAAGGCACTTTGGTAAACAGATTAGAGAGTGTGGACAAGTGGGATATAACGCAATCTTAATTCTAAAAAGTAAGATTTGGAGAACTTCCTTCCCCCCCTCTCCCCCATCCTTCCTTGAGATAATGAACACAATGAGACCAATGCAGGTAAGTTTCAGACAGCGCTGAAAAGTACCACTGAATTTCTCCAACAACCCTGAAGTGTTTATCTTTCTGTCTTCTTCTTTTGTTACTTGCTCAACACTACACTAAGAGCCACCGTGGTGCAGTGGTTAGAATGCAGTATTGCAGGCTAATTCTGCCCACTGCCAGGAGTTTGATCCTGAGGTTGACTCAGCCTTCCATCTTTCTGAAGTCAGTAAAAGGAGGACCCAGATTGTTGTGGGCAACATGCTGGCTCTGTAAATTGCTTAGGGAGGGCTATAAAACACTATGAAGCGCTATATAAGTCTAAGTGTTATTACTATTGCTATGCTACTGAATGGAGGAACCACTTCCTTGCAGAAAGCAAATAAGAAATTAGCCATTGATCCCTGCCTGCTATACATCTGATAGGTAATAAAATTAAAACAAAACCAATCCTCTGGATTTTTCTTTATGAGTGAAGAAATAGGAAAGGGACTGGATAGAAGGGAGAAATGGCATTTTTTGTTTGCTGCAAAACAGAATGGACAAGAAAAAACATATTCTTTGGGAGCAGGTGTACAGTTTGATGAGAAAAACCTTGGCAGTTTCTGGAGCTAACTCAAAACAGATCTCCCTGCCTAGCCTCTGGGCTGTGATTCAAGAATATCTTTTCTTCCTGTGTCAACTGTAATAAAATATTATGTAAAAAGTAATACTTTGTATAAAGTATACAAACTTTATTACAATTTAGCAACAATATGCAGGCAGATATGTGGCAACCAACGATGGAAAAATGTTCTGCTCAATTTGTAAGTAGTCCTTGACTTACACCCATTCATTTAGTGACCGTTTGAAGTTAAAACAGCACTAAAAAAAGTGACATGAATGTTCACACTTATGACCGTTGCAGCATCCCCGTGGTCACGGGATCAAAATTGGCAACTGGAATGTATTGATGACGGTTGCAGTGCCAACAGGGTCATCTGAACATCTTTTGAGACCTTCTGACAAGCAAAGTCCATGGGGAAGCCAGATTCTCTTAACAACCATGTCACTAACTTAACAACTGCAGTGATTCACTTAACAACTATGGCAAGAAAGGTCGTAAAATGGAGCAAAACTCATGTAACAATTGTCTTGCTTAGCAACAGAAATTTTGGGCTCAATTGTGGCTGTAAGTCGAGGAGCACCTGCAGCGGACTGCAAAAAATATTTTGCAAATGTATGATCTAGCCTAGAGGTCCCCAACTTTTAACACCAGGGACCAGTTCCGTGGCGAGAGGTTTTTCTGCAGACTGGAGGGGGCGTGGTTTCATGTCCCACAGATGGGGCTTTGCTTGTTTGCGCGGACCGGTTTCTGGCATGCCGCAGCCTGGTGCCGATCCACGGACCAAGGGTTGGGGACCCCTGATCTAGCCTTTCAACAGCATCTCAGTTACTGAGTTTCCAAATCCTTCTTTTCCATTCTGGTTTGCAAACAGTTCATTGTGCAAGAAAGCGGAGACCTCTTTGCTCAAGGTGCATACAGGAAAACTCAATTTAAGTCATCCAAAATACTGGGGAGGAAATAAATATGTTCAATTCACATTAAATTAAAATTATATCAAAATTGTTATTACACAATATTTCATTATTCAACTTGGTCCAGCCTTTTTTGTATAGTGCCCCAGTACATTTCTTACATGCGAATATATTGTATAGACTTGTCCTAACATTGTATATATATGCAAATATATTGCAATGCTCTGTCTTAACAAATCAGTTTTCTAAAATAGGAATAAACACATAGTATGTTCCTTCGATACATTGATTCCAATTATTCTACGTAAACCACAATCTATCACAATATCTGAAACAAAGAACTCTGTTTACCAGCCAGTCTTAAATTATTTGATTTTTCTTTAATGATCCAAGATAATAAACCAAGTTTAAACCAAAGTTCATTGTTTTGGACAGAGCAACAAACTGGTATTTTTAAACCAGTTTTTAGATACAAAACACTAAAGATGATTTATAAAATAGTTTTTAACAACACAATCTTAGAGCACCAGATATATTACATCGGAACAGCAGCTATAGAAGCAACTGAAAGGGAGGGCAAATATAAATTAGAGATTAATTGCTTCGTATTTTCACAACTGGGAAAATAATTGTTTTCTTTTCCCCCCCTGAAAATTGGGTTTAATCTGTTATCAAAATCACCCAATTCTAACTGAGACATAGCTGCCATTTGGGGACTAATTTGCAATAGCAGGTTCTCATATCTTAAATATCTGGCTGATTATTTTTTTTTTAAAAAAAAAAACCTGTTTTGCTTCTTTCCTGTCCCTTGCTTTCTGCAACCTATTTATTGAAGAAGAGATCCGAGGAATTTGTATACCAATTTGTGTTATTTTGGTTGGTTTTAATAAATGTATCACCCAGCTCTGTATTTTAAAGCATCTCCCCCAAGGGAAAAACACAACCATGATTGCTTTTGGTGAGAGATTATACAGTAGTGGCCAAAATTGTGGAAACCTTTTGGGAAAAGTGTATTTTTTAGGTTTGATGGCTAATAACACCACTTTTGTTTGGAGTAGTACCATAAAATTATATATCAATGGAAAGATAATTTAATCAAGAATGTAATGCAACAAAGTTTGTTCGATTATCTGTACTGTATTCTATGAAAAGCTATAGCCAAATAACCAGAAAAAGGAAGCACAACTTACTTAGGTTGATATCAGGTAGCTTTCCTTCATCTGATTGTAGCCAATCAGCATGAGTGTTTAGAGAGCCAATCAGGGGTCATCTTGTTTTGGCAATGAGCCAATCAGATCACAGTAGGATTCAGTTATTGATGTCATGTATTGAAGCTGAGAGGAGGACATTTGTCAGTGTGTTATGTGATCGCTATCAAGTTGGTTGGGTTTTTTTGTGTTCTTTCATTTAGTGAGCTTGAAAAACGTAATAAAATTAAAGTAATGGTGCAAAGAGTTGACTGGTTGCCCAGAAAGTGATGTAAAATAGTATTATTAAGTGAATAAGACTACAGTTATAAAGAAATTAGAAGAAACATTGGTGGAAACTTAACCAAAGGGTGGAATTTCTACTGTACACTTTTCCCAAAAGGTTTCCACAATTTTGGCCACTACTGTACATATGCATTTATTTGGGAAACAGAATGCTGTCATGAATGACCTGGTACGCTACTGCTATTTAAATATGAGGCCAAAAAATATAACAAATAATTCAACCCCAATTGCTTTAAAGTCAAAGGCTTCAGAAGCCCTGAAACTTTTGTTAGCATTTTCCCTTTGCCATTACCTTGCAGCGATACCGTATACCAAACTGAGTCAACGACTCATGCACTCACCCGCCACTTTTGTTCGGATTTGCATGTTTTCTTGCAGAGCTGCCAATGGTTCCAAGTACTCTGGTGCCTTTCCTGCAATGACTTCCTGTAGCTTTGCATCCACTTGGCTTAACCTCTCTTTGTAAAGTCTTAATATAATGAAAATAGAGTACATTATATTAAAGCCAGGCATAGAACAGTGTACAGATAGTCCTTGACTTAGGACCACAATTGAGCCCAAAACTTCTGTTGTTAAGTGAAACATTTGTTAAGTGAGTTTTGCTCCATTTTATGATCTTTCTTGCCACAGTTGTTAAGTGAATCACTGCAGCTGATAAGTTAATAACCTGGTTGTTAAGTGAATCTTAACAATCTTCCCCATTGACTTTGCTTGTCAGGAGGTCGCAAAAGAGAATCACATGACCTTAGGACACTGCAACGGTCATAAATATGAACCAGCTGCCAAACATCTGAATTTTGATCACATGATCATGGGGATGCTACAAAGATCATAACTGTGAAAAATGTTCATAAGTCACATTTTTCAGTGCCCTTGTAACTTTGAATGGTCACTAAATGAACTGTTGTAAGTCGAGGATTACCTGTATATTAATATTTCTAAGATCTTCTCAATTGGCAATAGGCATTCCTATTAAACCCATCAGCCCAGAAGAAATTAGTAAGATTCAAAAATAGACTGAGAAATACATTAAATTATAGTCAACTTTTTATTTAGACATTGTTTGGGCTAGATCTGAAAGCTAATGGTTAGTTTTCTGCCCATTCTGATTTAGATGGATAAGTTAATGTACATATTCAAGACTACAGCTGAATTAGAATCTGTAATACCCACTTGTCCGTGGTGGTGAGCTCCCACCGATGGAAAAAATGGGACAGCCTGCCTCCTATGGGAAGGGAGATTTGAGAGTCACTTGGACTTCTTAAAGGGACGTCCTGTCCCCCGAAATGGTCGCCTATTTTGGGGCTGTTGCCTGGACCTAAATCCTGTCCTATTATAGGGGCGGTCATACGTGCGCTCCTGCCTAGGCGTGAAGGGTCGAAAAGGCTGGGCTGCTGCCGAGCCTGGAGTTTGCCGAAAGGGCTGCCTTCTGGAATAAGGAGTGGGACGTTTGTCGGATCGCTTGGTGATGTGAGCCATGACTTTCCGCTTATCCTTGTTTTCCACAAGGAAAGGGTTCAGAGCTTCACCAAAAAGATGGGTCCCCTGGTAGGGAGCGGATGCTAGGCGCCATTTGGCCTTGGCATCAGCCTGCCAGTGTTTGAGCCAGAGCATCCTCCTGGCTGAAACATTGGAAGCTAAGGCTCGTGAGGCAAAATTGGCCGATTGTAAAGTCGCGTCCGACACGTACTCCGTAGCGGCCACCATTTTGCTCAAGTCCTGATGAGTCCGAAGGGACTCTGGCTTGTAGCTGTCTAAGCCAAAGGAGAGTGGTTCGGACAAAAAAGGACGCGCACGTGGCCGTTTTGATGGCCCATGCGGTCGACTGATGGGTCTTGCGAAAAGTTAGATCGCATTTCCTGTCGTCCGCCTTAAGTGCCTCCGCCAAATCCCCGGAGACTGCCATCTGGGACACCAGAGGAGTCCAGGCCTCATCTACCTGAGGCACCTCCAAGGCCTCAGTGAGATCCTTGGAGGTGTGATATAGCTTCTTGTCCGACCCACTTACGGAGAGGGAAGCAGAAGGGGAAGACCACTGTTTCTTTATCCCCGTGAGGAATATGTGAGGACAGGGGACATGATGCTGAGTCGCCTCGGTCGCAAAAAATATGGGGTCCGGACCCGCCTCGGCGGTAGCCTGTGGCTGAGGGAACTGATCGGACCCTATATTGGCTGTGGCAGTAGCCTTGCGAAGTAAGGAGAGAAACAAGGCGTGATTAAAGAGTCCCCCTAAGGAGGGTTCTGGGGGAAGTACCTCATCCTCTGACCAGTCGAGTTCCGGCGGTTCCCCTCCCGTGTGGGATGAATAACCACCGATTGAGGAACGGTCAGGTGACGGGGGCTCCTGAATCGGAAGGTCCTCTGTCGGGAGATTGGGAGGAAGCATGACTGGAGTAGAGGTCTCCTGTCCAGGCGTGTGACAAGACCATGCCGCAAGTGCCCGGTCAACGACCTTGGACAGTAGAGCTTCCAGGCGGCCATCTGAAAATAAGTCCCCTAGATCTGGGGCCCTGAGCCCAGCCGCCGTAGGGGTGAATGTAGCTTCCGGAGCCGAGCTTGTGGTATAGGAAAGAGGCCCAGCACCCGCGTGGTGTACCGTCGGGGTAGCTGGGTCAGCTGCCAGGGACCACACTCCCGGAGCCGAAGTGGATGGACCCAAGGGGAGATCGAATTCTGGGGCCACCACTTGATCCCTCTCATGCCTGGCCTGTTTTTGTGCCCTGGCAAATTCTTTTTCCAGAACTTGGTGCCTACGGCTGGCCTGCTTCTCCGCCACCTTTGATGTCTTCTTCAGAGTGGCCTTGGCCTTATTTTTGAGCTTGCCTGCTGCCTCCTGTCCGGAGGATTTGTGCCGGCCGTGGGTGGATGACGGGGACGCGGTGCCCAGGAGCTGAGGCGCCGTGGAATCCTCCATCCTCTATTGAGCTATCTCAGGAAACCTGAGGGGGAGCTCTGGCAAGCAAGCGGATGACGGGAAGAATTGTTCAGAGCTAGTAACAAGTACTGCTCCCCTGACCACCCGACCTGACAAATCTCTCTGGGTTGGGTCACGGTCACTGGGAAAGACCGAAGGCACGTTTGGGGCCCGCAAAGGCTCCGCCCGGAGGCCTTAGGTGGCCAGTCAGGGTGCACCAGTATCCAATGAGGGCGTAAAGGCCTGAAAAAAGGCCTGGCACAGGCAATATGACCAAAATTGGTGTCCCGAATCAAGATGGTGGCCTAAGAATTTTACTGTATTTAATTTATGGAGGTAATGTGGCCTAGCCACAACCCTGTACAGTGCTGAGGCCAACTAGGCCAACCACGTGGCGCTTCTAAAATGGCCGCCGCGGCAAATTCTTCTAATGGTCCCTGGAGTGTTAGACTGACTTCGGCCCTGCAAACGGCCCCTAGAGACCAGGCTGAACCAGGGAAGGCGAGGCAACGATGTCTCCTTAACGTTGGGGAACTCGTCTTCCTCAGCCCAACAGAAGGTCCCCCTTTGCGACTTGTCTTGGTCGCCCAAAATGGCGGCCGCGACTTTCGCCGGTTGGAAAAGGCCCGGGGGAGCGAAATTTGGCAAAGGCTAAGCTTGGTAGCCGAGGCCAGGGAAGAAAAGGTCCAGAAACGCTAAGGAAACGCCTCCCTTACTCGAGGAGAAAGCCTCCTATCCGAAATGGTAAATCGCGCCCAAAATGGCGGCCGCAACTCACGGCAGTTGAAAACAGCCCGGAGGAGCTAATTTTAACAAATTGCGATCTTGGCAGCCAAACCCAGGGAAGGCGATCTCCAGAAGGGCTGAGGAATTGCCTCCCCTGACAGGAAAAAGCCTTCTCTTCGAATTTGTAAAAGCGCGCCCAAAATGGCGGGCGCGACTTTCGGCGGTCAAAAAACGGCCCGGAGAAACTAATTTTAACAAATCCTGAGCTTGGCAGCCAAAATCAGAGATGGAGATGTCCAAAAAGGCTGAGAAATTGCTTCCTCTGACAGGAAAAAGTCTCTTTGAAATTGGAAAGCGCGCCCAAAATGGCGGCCGCGGCTTTCAGCCGTTGCAAACGGCCCGGAGAAGCAAAGTACCCCAGGGGTGAGGCTAGCAGCAGCACTGGCTCACGAAGGGAAGGAAAGGAACGGGGGAATTGGCAAGTCACCTTTCCCCCTACCTAGATCCCTGGAGAAAGAATAAGGCGATGGGGATTGTTATCCCCCCCCACCCCTCCCTGAGAAAAGCCTCAAATCGGCCGATTTGAGGCCCCGCTGATCCCAGCAGACCCAGGGAATTATTCTAATGTTATAATTATACTAATTATTATATTATTATAAGTATAATAATTAAATTATTATTTAATTATAGGGGAATTAGCTTTGAGAATCCAACGATGGGTCTCTGACCTGCAAATTCTAATCTGATCCTGAGAGCCAAACCTTGAGACGTCTGCAAGAGCTTGAGACCAAGATAAGACTGGGTCTCACAGCAACAGGGGGCGTGTCAAAGTTTGGCTACTTGGTCTCAGGAGCAGGCAGACAGAGAAAACCCACCGGTGGATTCTCCATCTCCTGTACTGGAGAAGTTTGAGATCACTGGTTTACTTACTGATCTTTGAGATCTGTAAACTGTTTTTCAAGGTCAGACATCTCATCTAAACACTCCATTCTTCTTCTTTCACAATCTTCATCATCCATTTCTGCAATGACAATTATATACTTTTACAAATATAACTAGTTTGTCTCTTCCAATGTACTTTACAGCATTTATGATCAAGCTGATATCTTCATTAAGAGTGATTAAAGTTCTAAATTATTTAAATTATTTAAATAAATTAATGGAATACTTTCTAAATCTGCTGGAAAACAGATATAACATATAAAATTATTTCTGTATATCTCTATTCTGTGATTAATGTTATGAAAGAACTAAATTGATAAGCATTCACTTCATCTTACAGCCAGTCAGCTAAGCCTTTGACTTAGCTACCATTAGAAGTTATACTTACCACCCTGTTCTGAGTTATGACACCTGCATATGCATCCATGGTCACATGACCACATTTTGGACACTTGGAATGCTGCAACAGGCCATAAAGGTGAGCTGGTTGCCAGTAGAATAAAATAACGAACAGAATAAAAATTGTATTGCTACTTTAAATGTACACTAATCAGTATGCGTTAAAATGAAAATTGTGTTCCATTCAGCTCTCAAAAAAATACCATTATGTGTACACCCACATGACACATATGTGACTGCAATTTACAACATTTTTTGCCGACTCTGGCCTTTTCAGTAAGTTTCCACAAAAATCACCATAGGAATACAGTGATTCGCTTAATGATGGCAGCATTTGCTTAAAATTATAAAGTTGTAAAATCGCATCCAGGCACACAAGTGTCTTGAGGTGAAGTTACAATTAAACTGATTTAGTGCTCATGCCTGTGCCCAGGAACCTACTCAACAACAGTTAATACTATTTTGGCTCTAGATAAAAGTTAATGGAATTTAACTGACCGCAACTGAGCCCCAATTTTCTGTAACTGAGACATTTTTAAGTGAGTTTTGCCCCATTTTACAACCTTTCTTGTCACCACTGTTAAGTGAATCACTGCAGTTGGTAGGCTAGTAGCACAGTTGGTAAGTGAATCTGGCTTCCCCATTGATTTTGCATGTCAGAAGGTTGCAAAAGGTGATCACATGACACTGGGATACTGGAACTGTCATAAACATGAATCGGTTGCCAAATGGCCAAATTTTGGTCATGTGACTATGGGGGTGATGCAATGGTTGTAAGCGTGAAAAATGGTCATAAGTCAGTTTGTTCAGTGATGTTGTTTCAAATGGTCACTAAATGAACCATTGTAAGTCGAGCATTACCTATGTTTCTTTTGTTGATGTTTTTTATTATTTTATTGTTTTTTATTGTTTTGTTTTATAATTATAGAATTGTAAGCTTCCCAGAATGCTTGCTTGAGTTGGGAGACTATAGAAATTAAATAAATAAATACTGATAATCAAGAAACCATATAATTTACATTAATTAACTGTTGCATTCTTCCCTTCCAATCAACATTTCATCATCTCACCCAGGTAAAAACATCCATGGATAAACATTTTTGACACAACATTACTTCTTAATTCAGACACCAAGGACCTAAACATGTACATGATTCCAGCTTCCATCAGTATGCACACTCGATTCAATATATACTATACCAAGTTGCATATTAGAAAATCATGTTCATAATCTAAGTAGCACCTTTTAGCAATTCATGATGTTTAGCATACATTTTCCAATTCCATATTCGCAACCTAAGATGCTGTTTTTCCCATACTATAAATGGAAGACTGAGGACAATAAATGATGCCGTCAGGCAACCCATTTAAAGTATTCATTGTTTAGCCAAAATTTGAAATAGAAACCACCTCCTGTTGATCCTTTAAAAACAGTACTTTAAAAAAAGTATTTTTTCATATAATGTACAATGTTGTTTACACCATCAACAGCAAAGATCTGTCCCCCTACAAATGTACATATTCCCCCTTTCCTTTCTTCAGTTGTAAAAAGCAATCAGAAGCTCATCTGAATCCTAAATTTCAATTTATACTAAAACAAGTCACAAATACTGAAATGTGATTCTGATTCATACATATCACTGCATAATTATTTTGTTAAATTAGTATTGTACTATTTTCTCAAGAGTTTAAGATGGCCCACACAATGCTTCCTGTCTAATCAGCATCTCTATGAGATGGGTGTACATCAGCCCAGACTTTATGATCTTGAGGAAGTGGGTTGGGTGGGTAGAAGAGCTAGCACCTAGGAAATCTACCCTGTTTCTGAGCAGTAGGGTGATTGGTAACATCAAGAGCAACTCTAAATAGTCCATACAATCTAGTAAAATACAAGAGATAAGGGAATTCGCCCTCCCACTGTCTTTCACCTCAAAGTCCCTTCTGAAGTCCCTATCATTATTTTGTTAAATTTATATCCCTTCTTTTGCCTAAGAGTTCATCCATATTCCTTCTTCCAATCAAATAAATGTCTAAGAAAGGTTGGGCTACAGAAAATCACTGACCCAAAATTATATTAGTTTTTTATTAGAAAAAAAGTTCAATATTTATTCTATAGGTTTTATGTAATTTAAGTGTTTTATTTAATGTCTATATGTCTATTTAATAGTACTTGTGCTTCTTAGTTTTTAATTGTTTAAGAGCTTATGTCAATGAAACATAAGCTGCAGGAAAAAAATTATTTGAAAATTTTATTTTTGTCATATCTATCAAATTTGTGGAGTATTAACAGGTTATACAGTATGTCCTTCCAAAAGAAGCAATTTAGTATATTCACAAATTTGGGCAGGTTAAAGTTCCAATTTGTTTTTCTAAAAGTAATTCATTTTCTTCCACAATTAAAATTTGGGTTTATTAAGTACACATTAAGAGAAAATTCAGAATCTCCTGGGTTGATTAATAAGTCTTTAAAATATATAGGGGGAAAATTGATGCAGAAGGGTATTAATGTTAACAGTTAGACATTTTAATAATTCAGGGGTCTTCAAACTTGGCCCTTTTATGACTTGTGGACTTCAATTCCCAGAATTCCTCAGCCAGGCACGCTGGCTGAGGAATTCTGGGAGTTGAAGTCCACAAGTCATAAAAGGGCTAAGTTTGAAGACCCCTGTAATAATTGTATTGCTTTTATTAATTGTTCTTGGCTTATTAAAAACCATTCCAGAGTTTTTCAAAAGTGTTTTAGACACTTTTAGCTTTCTGTTCTGTGCGAATGCAGCCTCCAATTCCAATGGAACAAACATTTCTATACTGGCTTATGGCTGACATAATTAAGGGGTCTTTTCAGAAGTACAGGGGAAATTAAGGGGTGCATCATTCTATTTATCACATCTTCCCTCATTCCTCCCTGAAAAATGCTGTTCTGAAGTCTTCCAACAATATATCAGATTTTGTATTTCAGATGTGTCTTCATTGGTATACAGTAAGTGCTGTTCCACTGTAATGACTTCTTTTGAGCAGTGGAATTAGCTCGGTGTTTCTCAACCTTGGCAATTTCTGTTGACTTCAATTCCCAGAATTTCTTAGCCAGCATTATCTTAAACTTGCCAAGGTTGAGAAACACTGAGTGGACTTGGGCCTTCTAAAGGTAAAAGGATTTTCTCCAGCTTCTAAGATTAGACCACAAAATATTACTTTAGATCTGTTTCCTAAACTACCGTAATAGAGATTTAAAAGAAACATTTCCCATTTCAATAAATTGTAACAGATTTTATTCTATCTGTCTGGATTGACACCAGAATAAAGAGCAGTTACCAAAAAAAGAGTTTTGGTGCCTCCTAACTATTGAAACTGAAGCAGGAGAAACTTGAGAGCATACTATTACACTTTAATAACTCTTAGGAATGCTGGAGAACAATATACACAAACTCTGTTTTTCACATACAGAGAAACATAAACATTAAGTGTAACTAAAGACACAATGATTAAACAAGAAACAAAAGCCTAACATCACCAAAGTAAGACATAAAAAGCAAGTAAGGAGCAAATACCTGGCAATTTCTTCAACCCACAGAAGCATCTTCATGTTTACTTTTTCTATATACTGCCCTGTTTCATGTTATCCTATTGTTAGCAGCAGATAATGAAATAAAATTGTATTCCTACATTAGTGGAAAAGCATGCATGTCAACATGTAGCAGCACTAGCTGCCTGGTCTAAGTTCATAGGGTAATGCCTGGTTAGGCCTTGAATGGGAGAATTCCAAGGTTGTAGAATAGACAGAGAAACTGAAAAAAAAATCACCTTCCAAAGAAGACTATTCATTGCAAACCTCTTCTATACCCTTGCTAAGAAAACTGTAGGGGGTCTGTCTATGAAGTCACGAGGAATCAAAGCCAACTTGATTTTAAAGAAGGATGTAATGGACAGAAAACTCTCTCCGCAATCGGTCATGTGAATACATCCTACCCACAGACTATATTGGCTCATGCTGTATTTTAGCCTAATAAAAATAACCAACACTAAAGTAACTAAGTAATTGCATTTATTCCTGCAATATCTAAATGTATGAAATGTGCTGAATATAATTAATAATAAATCTACCATTCCTCCAGGATTGGTAGACCCAAGTTCTACACTCATCCATGGAAGCTCACTGGTCCCAGTCCAATATCCTAATATCATAGGATACCACAGATATAACACCTATAAATAACAATTTTATTTTTGTATTTATCAATATAAGATGCTAAAATGAACCAACCATATTCCGAGATGGATCATCATTAAGCTCACTATGCTTTACTTCTATGCAGGGCTTTTTTTGTCATAGAACGCCCAGAACGGCATTCCGGCACCTTTTTTGGATGGAACCTTGTAGGGTAGGCAAGGCGGGTTGTATGACTTGTGTTAGTTCCGGCACCTTTTTTTTTTTTTTTTTTTTACAAAAAAAGCACTGCTTCTATGTGTCCCAAGAAGGACTTGGTACAAAAACATTAAAGATAAGAATTGCGTATCAGGCCTATTAACTCAGTGGTTTTTTAAAAATACTTTTGACAAGCAAACATACCTAATACTTCTTCCTCCTCCCATTTTCCCCACAACAACCCTATGAGATGAGTTGGGCTTTAGAGTTAGTGACCGACAGAAGGTACTGAATAAAAAGGCAAATACAAGCTTTAACCTACTGTTCTGCAGTTTGTCTTATGCATTATTTGTGCACTGAAATCATTATCATCTAACTTTAACCCTAAAGATAGGATAGAAAATGCCCTGTGAACATTTCTCAGACAAACAAATATGGGACACTCAAGATTTGGGGACAAAGAGAAAACACAATAGGGGCTTCAACAAACTAATATTCAAGCTATCATAGCACATTCCCTGTTTCTAGAAGGCAATGGCAATACACAAAAGCACTTGTTCTTTAAAGGGAAGGAAAAACAGCAAGACAACAAACGGCATCCTTCTTACTTGGACCATCTTGCAATTTAGTCCATAAAGCCACTGGCCCAAGAATTGCCCATCTCTCTGAATGCATTTGTGGCATTTTTTTTTGGGGGGGGGGGGGTGCCACACCAAATCAACTCTTTCACAGCTTATAGAAATTTCTCCCACCGGGCTGGCTGCAGACAATACACCACACCGCAGGTTTATCGCCGAATGAGGGGGGGGGGAATTGGGGGCAAAGAAGAGAATAGCTCTCCCCAAAGACCCTGGAAAGAAACTATTAGGAAAGTGAGGCCATTGCCTTGCCCGCCCAGGTGAGGGGCGTAGAACCAGGGGGGTTTCCTAACAAGTCGCCGACGGCGAAGGAGTGGGAGGAAATGCCGAAAGGGGCCATAAGGGTCGCAGAAACCGCGGAATCGCCCCGGCACACCAACAGAGCCGGACGGGGCGGGGCAGAGTCCTCCCTTCTGCCCCTATCTAACCCCAAGCGAGGCAGATCCGTTCTAGCATGTGCGCCTAGGAGCCCTTTCCCCGCTTCACCTGAGCTGTCCCCCTCCTCGGAGACGGACGAGCTCTCGGACTCCTCTTCCTCGGAGCTGCTGCCCTCATTCTCCCCGTAGTCCACCTCCATATCATCGTGGTTGTTTTCTTTCTTCTCCCTCGAATGGACCGGCATCGCGCCCGCTCTCGGCAGACGCCCGGCGTCACCCGCTGGAGACCAGGACAGCCGCTTCGCCGGCCCGGCCCTCTAACGCGCCGAAGCTCCGCCCCGCCGAAACCCCGCCATCCACCTTAGGGCCGCACAACTCAACCCGCCTCTCTGTCGCTCATTGGTGGACGCCCTGCCGGAGGAGCGGGGTTTCGTAGTCGGGCGTGATGGGCTGTTCTGTGTTGCGGAGGATTTCGGGATATGTAGTCTTTCGGGGGGGGCGGGGGGAAAGGCTTGTAGATCCGAGTAGGTAGTGGAAGTAGGACAGGAGACGGTGGAAGAGAGGCTGCTGAAGGGTCTATTATGTACATATTTTAAACACAGATTTGGAGCAGGGAGATTAACACTGTCTTCTTATTTGAAATTAAAAACAAAATTGGCGAAAGGGGCAATAGCCACCGATTTCTCTTCCCGGCTGGAAGCTTTCGGGAACATCCTCCTTCAAGGACTGCTGCATTTAGGTAAAGGGGGGAAGAGTACAAGGCGGGGGAGAAGGCAGCGTCTACTACTCTTCTTGCCTCTGAGAAGCTCACTTTCTCTGTATTCTGTAGCTGAAAGAATTAAGCTCAATAGCGCTTCCAGAGGCCGAAGTGAGTTGCTGTGTCCCTTTTGGGCCGAGATATTCCCGTAACACCCCGAGCGGAGGTTTTTTTAATCACGATTTGCCACTAGCAATTGGCTGGTTTGTGCTACCACGTTGAGGCATAAAACCATGTCTCCCTCAGAGATGTGAGGGCCAATCTCAAATACAGAAAATTTGGGGAAGGACTGGGGGATTGTTTTGCGAGGACTGATTAACTCCTAATTTTTTTCAGCAGCTTGGAAAATACTCAAAATCATTACTTTGAAATATTTTTATTTTTAGACCGAGTAAATTGATTTTTAAGATGAACCTACTTCCCAAAATGGTAAAGATGTTCACATAAAACAAATGCATATTGCAGAATTCCATGTTTTCAATATTAGTATTACTTTTAATTTGATAATCCAGATAAAGGAAGAGCTCACTTAACTGCCCTGTTTAGCAGCCATTCAAATTACAGCAGTGCTGAAATGATTTATGGTCAGTCCTTGCATTTACAACTGTCAGTGTCCCACAGTTATGTGATCATTATATTTTTGAGCTGCAACCCAAAGCAACTTTGGCTATAAGAAAGCCCATGGAAAAGAATAGATCTACAGTTATTCTAAACAAACATTTTTTTAAAAAATCTCTTCTGTAGCCCTTAAAATTGACTCTTATAACAAAGGTAACCCATCTTTGTTATTTTTACAAATAACTCAAAGCGACAGGCATATCCAATATATGCTGTACAACTTTCAACCGCTCTAGGTTGCTCACAACAATCAAGAAAACTATTAAAATCAATAAAACATAAAAAAGGATAAAAGATGGCAAATTAATGTTAATACACCATCTGAATCAACTCATTTAGAACTGTATTAATATAGCTTATAACTTGAAATGGATTAACAGAAATAAAATTTAATAGTTTTGTAGTTTTTTCCCCATGTAATAATTAAGCTAAGTCAATTTTGGAGGAAAAAGTTGTCACTGCCATAGGAAGACCCCAACTCATATTATATTGTATAGTCACTTTGGTGACCACATTCTTTACTGTGATGTGTGCTTGGGCTTTAATGGGAGGGAATTACTAGTAGAATAATAAAGGTATAAGGTATCATAGATGAAAATCAATAGAACCACAACCATTTTAGAGAAAGCTATATGCTGTATGGACGAGAAATATAATATAGATATCTATATTCAAACCCCATACATCTTAATCTGAAACTATAATTCATCTCTCCAAAAAATTATGTATATAAAAAATTGAAGTATTTTGAAGGATGTGCTAAGATCACACATCTGTATTACTAGAGTATTATGTGCAAATTTATGAACTAGTATATGCTACTATTATTAAAATAAAGCAGAAATATTTTAATAAATTACCATTAACCACCTTCATAACATAAGTCTACTTATTTTTCTTCTCCTTCACCTGAAAACACAAATGGATGGTATTTAGCAGTTGTTTCCAGCAAGGGAGCAGGGTAAGTCCCTTTTAATCAGATGCATTCATTGTCAGTCAACAGGTAGAGAAAAGACTACCTAGTAAAGCTCTCTCTCTCTCTCTCTCTCTCTCTCTCTCTCTCTCTCTCTCTCTCTCTCTCACACACACACACACACACACACACACACACACACACACTTGTATTTCACAGTAATGGATCATTACCAGCCCACCTCACAGTGTTGTTGTTGTGTGGAAAATAGGAGAAGAGTGGGTTGGATATATTCAGTGCCTCGAGTTATTTGTAAAAACAACAAAGGCTGGAAATAAATAAACAAACAAACAAACAAGCATTTATATTTCCCAGGAAAGAAAAAGACATTCAAATCTTGACTAACCAACATTTGTACATGTCACTATTTGCCATATATAGTGGCATATTTAGTATCAGGAACCACATTTAAACTCCCAGAGAGCTTAATAAAGCCTGAAAATTGTTCACCCAATTTCTGTCCACACTGTAAGAGGATAGAGAGGATTGATTATACCAGTGCAACAACGTACCCTATATTGTCTGCTGCACTATAGTATATCATTTGCTGTGGGGCAGAGTGGATATAGAGTGAATTCTCTCAGATGATTTTTACATTTGGGAGGTTTTTTTATATCTTATAAGAGTTACCAAATGTTTTTTTAAAACAAAGGACCTGCCACATGATTGGAGCTCCATAGACCTGATTTGAATAATTTAACTCTGAATATATAATCTGGAACATAAGATGGCAGCAGAGAGTTTTTCTGGTTCTGTGCTTCCATCGAGTGATCGCTCCGGTTTTTTTTGCAAATCCTATATTGTAGTCCACATTATTCCAATAATAAAAATAATCTGTGCTTCAAATTTTTTCTTTTCCTGGCAATTTTTATATATTGAATTCCGGAGTTGTATATCATTACGAAACACTTTTATTAGGCTGTTGTCTAGACTTTTGCGTTTCTAAAAAAGGAAAACGTTAGCATAGAATCATTAAAGAAGGGACTTCCTAAGAGCAAAACAGAATTCCAGACTAGATAGATAAATAGATAACCTTTATTGTCATTTTTTTTTTACTGTGGGCACACTGGCACACATTAAAAAGGAAATTCTGTTGCCTGCTCTCAAAAGTGTACACATACATAACATACATATAAACACGCCATATACATACATATGTATATACCTATGCCCTTACATATAAATATTAATCACTGCCCCAACACATACACAAATCCACAAAAACAAAGCCTATCGATGACCTAAAAGGCAAGCGACGATGGAGCAGAGGCGGAAAAAGCAGCCCTCCGAGTCTTCCGGTTATGACGTTGAAGGAAAGAAGTTGCCATGGGGACCTTCGAAATCGCGCCTGACGGCTGTCGTGAAAGAAGACCAACACCGAGGGGCGTAGGGAAGGAGGAGGAGTAAGGCGATGTTGCGCGGGGGGGAAGCCTAAAGCTACCCACCCGCCAACCCCTCTTCCAGTCCTGCCCTTCGCTGGGATTGCGCCGACCGCACCCCCTGCTTCGAAGCCTCGAGGCGGCGCCTCGGCTATGTAGGGAAAGCCGAATTGGGGAGGGGGGGCGGATTTCAAGGCCGCAGCTCTCTCCTCCCTAGCTTTCGGGGGAGGGGGGTGTCCCGGCGGCGATTGGTGCCACCAACAGCCGAAGAATCAGGAACCCCGACGGGCCGTCCCCGAGCGCTCGGCAGTCGGGATGTTCTCCAAGAAACCGCACGGTGATGTGCGGAAATCCACCCAGAAGGTGCTGGATACCCGCAAGGACCCACTAACCCGGCTGAAGCACCTGCGCGTGGTTATTGGTGAGAAGGGGAAAGCGGCCTTAGGTGGGAGGGGGTGGGACGCAGGGTCTCTCTCTCTCTCTCTCTCTCTCTCTGGATTGAGTTGTAGCCCGTGGGAAGGTTCGAATCCTGTTTTGCGCAGGGAACTTTTTCCTATACAGCATTTTACTTCTTTTTGAGGAGAATCATTTCAGCTGACCAGATGTCAACCAGATGTCAACCAGATGTCAACATGCTTTGGGCTGTGAAAAACCGGTGCTTTTCTCCCTGAGATGAGCCGAAGAAGCTCCAAGTCTTTGTTGGCATGACAACTGAGGGCAAGATGGGAGGCCAAAGGCAGGGAGGAGATACCTGAAATGAGCTGAGATTATCTGTTTTGCATGCATCGGCCCCTGTTTATCTCACTATGTCAAGACGAGGTAGACTCCCTGCTGCTTCTCTTGCCATAATAGTTAATTCTACTTTCCAATATGATAGGATGTGCTTTTCTCAACTCGATTTAGAAGCTTTCGTTGTTGTGGTATAGAAGGTCCTATACAGCATACAGCTATACAACTTCTAGCACCTGTTGTCTAGATTGCAGAAAAGGCTGCCCTGCTTTTTGATGCTTCAGACATCTAAAAGAGAAAGAGATGCTGTTTGATCTGGATTGTTTGGGGTTTTTTTTGTAGTTGCATGAAGTGTCCACCTGGGCAGTCCCTTATACTGAGATTTGTTTTGCGTGTCTTTGTTTCTCTGTGCTGTTCAATTTAATGAACAGTTTACTGTTTCTTCTGATCACTGTTTCAATTTCTGACAATTTCCAGAAAGGCTGCTGTATTATGCTGTTGGGTCAGACAAGAATATTTTGACATCTTAAAGACAAATACATTTACTAAAACTTTGGCTTCAGCAGCATGGAATCTAATTAATCTTGATTCTTATATTTGCGTAGAATTCTGGGGTGGTGGAGTATTGTGACTTTGCTTTATGATAAGGATTTATACACTATAATTATTCTTAATAGATAAGGAATAGGAGAAAGTTGCCTTATAAAGCATCTGATTGTTGGTACAACAAGTAATTAATGCTTCAGATAAGTTTTCAGATAAAATGTTTGCCAATGTTATCTGGAGATTCCAGTAGCTGATGTTAGAATTTTTGGAATGTAAAGCATATGTTCTGCTATTGAATTATAACATTTTCTGTAATGTTACAAGAATGTCATTACCAAGAAAATGAATATAGTTTGTTGAAAAGTAGATTCTACAATCTCTCTTGACAATTGTTTCAAGCAATAAAACAGTCAGATGAAGAATAGGCCTATCTAAATGTAGTTTTGTCAGTCCAATTAAACTTACATAACATATACATTCTGGATTGGTTTGGCTTTTAGATTTGGTGGTAAAAGTAGAACCTTTACTGGCTATAGCATTGCATTCTAAGATAGGCATTAGTGTTTGAATGAAATAAATTGTTTACTGAATTTCCTGTAAACTTTAAAATGTATTTCTGCAGATTCCACTTCTAAGAAGAATGTTTTATAAAATGAATATAATTAAAACAATACATGTAGAAACATGTATGTTTTGAGATCAATAACATTCAGTTTTCTCCATGTTAGGAACTTTATTATGTGCATAAATTAGCATCAAAGTTGAGGGAAATGTGGTCCTTACTACAGTTTAAGAAAGGGTATATATCACACATTTCTCATGTCTTTTAATGCCATTATTTGTATTTTGCATTATATATCTATTATTACTTATACACATTTTGCTGTACATTGTAAACAGCTACGGCCATTCAGTGTGTGTGTAAGGTTTACATTTTCTAAATAATTAAATAATAGGCAATATGTTTAACAGAGGCATTCCCTAGGGCAAATTTTATTTATAAAATATACCATTTGGACAAGCCAAATTGCTGTATTAATTTTAATATGCAATTTTATTTATTATGTTAGTCATTTAATAATATGTATTATTTAATTTATAAAAATCAGACACAAAAAGAATATAGCAATTAGCAATGTAAGATCCCTTCTCCAATATAATATGAACATTAGATGTATTTCTTTTAGGAAAGTGATTACAAAACAGAGCCACTAATGAAAAGCTTTCCTTCCCATACCAGTTCTGCAGATTTGAGGTGCCTCTGTACATGGTCTTCAGGACAGACATATGGAATAAGCTATTCCTCTAAGTCTTGAAATTTTAAAATAAGTAGACATCATGTAGAAGCTTCTTCTGTTTCTATTTCTTATTTTTAACAAAATCTTCAGTACTCTGGCCATCAGGTTTCAATATATAGGTAGTACTCATTCAGCAACTGCCTCACTTAGAAACCATTCTTAGTTGATGATGAGAAAAGAACTTTATTACCAGTCCTTGCATTTATGACCGTCACAGATCTATAAAGCAAAAGGTTGCTGATAAGATAAGTGTAGTCACGTTTTCACTTAGCAACCACTTTGCTTAATAGTAGAGTTGCCAGTACTAATTTTGGTCACTAAATGAGGACTACTTATATATGTATATCAATAAATGCAAGTGTTTAACAACCTCTTGTCAAATTTTATTTTCAATTTTGGAAAGCTCTCAAAACTTGGTTTTGCCATTGAGCCTGGGGATCCCACAGAAGCATGGAGCTTGTTAAACGGCTGATATAAATTTAGACCGGACTTTTCCCTGTCTTTTTGTTATTATATTTTAAACTGTTTTTAATAGGTTTTATTGGCTGAATTGTAATGAGCCAGTTTGCGTAGTAGTTAAAGCATCAGGCTAGAAACTGAAAGACTATGAGTTCTAATTCCGTCTTGGGCACAAAACCAGCGGGTTGGGTGACCTTGGGCCAGTCACTATCTCTTAGCCTTAGGAAGATGGCAATGACAAACAATTTCTTAAAAACTTGCCAAGACAACTGCAGGGACTTGTCCAGGCAATCTCCAGGAATTGCACATAATTGAAGGGAAGAAAAAAAAACAGGTTTTATGTTGATTGTTTAGTTCCACTTTAAATTGTATATGCTCCTAGTCATATGTAATTGAGATGGGCAGCTATACAAATTCAATAAATTTATAAAAAAGAATAGAAGCTGGCATAACTTCTACATGGAACAAAATAAAACATGACAGCTACAAATTTGAATGCATACTTGCTATTTACGTTTGTTTGAAAGATTCAAATAAGAAAAAAGTACATATGACAGGTATATTCTGAATGAATTTTAGTTCCTGAGTTTGTTTAAAATAATTATTTGATAGAATTTAAAGCTATCCCACTAGAAGAGATTTTGACAGTAGTATGGTTCTGCAAATTCATGAAAAAAACCTAATGGAAAACATTTTACAAAAGGGATGTGGATTAAAACTTATTGAGTTGTAAAACAAGACTTTATGCAAGTGATTGCATAGTATTAGTATTAACATGTATCTTGAGACATTTGAGCTAATATATATTTTGGCTTACTCTTTCAGAGACTACATAAGGCCTTACGCTACTAGGAGCATACATTTTTTAATCTTCATACAAGGATTTTGCATAATTTGCAAATGTTTTAAGTTTTATTTCTTTAAAAAAAATTGTCCTGCATTTATATAAAGCCTGCCAGAGTTACTGATAAAATAACTCTGCATTCTAGTTAATGAACTACTTTTAAAACAAATCTTAACTTTTTTGTTTATATATCGTATATAGGTTAAAAAGAGAAACACATGTTCAAAGGCATCTCTTTATAGAAATTCACACTGTCTAAATCATATTTATTTTTTTTACAATAGATTTGATCTGGTAGACAATTATTTGAAATATACTATCAAAAGTGATCAGCATATTAGCTTATTTTATTAATTTGATATTCGGGTGAGTGTCTTCAATGCTCAAATGTCTATAATGTTAAAAATGAAAATTAACATGTTGGATAAAACACTCAAGATAAATGAAACATGCTCTCAAATTTTGTTCCCATTTATCAAAAAATAATTTTAAAAAGTCTAAAAGAGATAGAAGATATAAAGACACTGTACTGCATAGGAAATTATAGTTCTGAATATGGAAATTCCATAAGACATTACAGGAGAAATATTCATTCTGATTTTATTAATTGTGATGTTCCTTTTCCTGAAGAATTATGTGCTCATGGGCACTTTAAAAACAGTCAGGTTGATACAGCGAAGTATGTTTTAAAGCATGAAGAGAATGAAATAAAACAAATGAAATATTTGAAATATTTTTGCCAATATTTCTTTGGGTTGGGAAAATAAATAAAATTCAACTTCATGTGTAAAATAAATAAATAGTCCCGATTTATCTTAATGGCAGGACATTTTTGAGTTCCTTGGTATTAATCCTAAGGCTCAGTTAGTTCATATAACTGTAATTGAATCTTCAAATTTTAAGAAATTTTAATTTTAGACCAAAGAAGTTGATGGTAATCTTAACACCAAACATCAAATCTTGGGAAAACGTATTGTGTTATGATTATATTACAAAATGATCTACTCTATAGCTATGTTTGTTATTTATATGGTAGGAAATTAGTTTAATTTATTAATCATATTTTCAGTCAGAGGTACATAACTGAGGTCTCTGAAAGATTTGCTTCCATAATGTAACAGAATGAAAAATTAAAGTAAAACAAATTTAGTTTGTCTTAGCCATGCCTGTTTTATCAATACTCTCCTATATATCATCAAAGGGCAAATTAAATCTTCAGCCCGTCAAAACATACACCTCAATTTTATTGCAAGTTTGACAAAACAAATGAACTTGTTATTTAAAGTTGTTTTGCCTAGTGCCTCTTAAATTAATAGGACTGTAGAGCTTTGCTGTTTTATTTACTAAATAATTACCTCGCTTATACACAATAACATATTAGAGTGGTGAGAACATGAGCTATAGCCTATCAGCACTAAGCTTATGATTGCTAATATCTGAAATGTGATACGGTATGTATTAGCTTATACATAGAAGATAAAACTATTTTCATATATTTTCCCTAATAAATAAATTCCCGTTGTTCCATGAAAGCCTTGTTTTATATACTGTTAAAATATACCATAATACTTTTATAAATTTATTTTTATTTGTAAAAAGTTTTTGTTCTATATTGATTAGCATATTTTCATTAATTAGCTTGTTTTAAAACATTATATACATTAACATTATGTCCTACTTATTTTGCAGAGAATTCAGAATCTATTGACCTTAAGCAGTTTTTTGAATTACATTTTTCACACATATATTATGTGTTTTTTGAAAATTTTGTGACTATTGAAATAAGTCTGAAACAGAAAGGTAAGAACCCAAGTTAAATATATAATCTCCATTTGTAGTCCTGGTTTTTGAAATGTATAATTTTTTTGTATAAACAGAATTTATTGAGAAGATTTACCAAAACATTTCAGTTTAGAACTATTTACTGCTATGATTAATCCTATTGATACACATTAATAAGGCACTACTTTATGGCTGTATTAATACGTATTAGTAAAACATTACTTATGATAATGAACCAATGTGATATAAGTGTTGGATTGGTATCGCGGTGGCCCGGTTCAGGTTTGTCCTGAAAACTTAATGGATGACTATTAACCATTAACATGCTATTAGCTCAGCCTACCTCACAAGTTGATATTGTTGATATTGGGGAAAATAGGAGTGCTGTGTTCTGATTAGTTGGTTTATTATGCCTTTATTTTGTACAATTCAAGGTAGTATACATAATGCTCTATTCTTTCAACCTTGAACTTCTGAAAAGAAAGCAGCATATAAAACAAATACGTCAGTTTTGTAACTGAGCACATTATTGTGGTTTAGCCATCAAAAGTTCCCTGCCAATATTTACTCAGTAATTAAAACCTGATAATTTGATTTTTTTTAAAAAAAACCTGTTCACTGATTTGTGAATATCAGTATGACTTCAATTTACTTGTTTTCAGTTCTAATTGTTCAGACAAACAAAAGTTTATATTTAAACTACATGTCAGTTTCATTTCAGTACAGATAGTCCTCAACTTATGACCACAATTGAGTTGCGCCCTATTTTATGACTTTTTTTTTTTGCTTTGTTGTTAAGCAAATCATTGCAGTTGTTAAATGAACCATGCTAAGCAAATCTGACTTCCCCCATTGACTTTGTTTGTTAGAAGCAGGCCGGGAAGGTCACAAATGGCAATTGCATGATCCAGAGATGCTGCAACCATCATAAATACATGCCAGTGGCACCTGAATTTTTGATTACATGACCTTGGGGGGATGCTGAGATGGTTGTAAGTGTGAGCACTGGTCGTAAGTCACTTTTTTCAGTGCCATTGTAACTTTGAATGGTTGCTGAATGAATGGTTATAAGTTGAAGACTCTCTCTATGAACTTGTTGATCCATCATTAAAAATTCTTATATCAACAACATTGGGGGGGAAAAGAATACTAAAGCAGATAGGTGGCAATCAGAGTTTGCACTTCTTACTTAAAAGCCTAGTCAAAGTTTGTCACCTAAAATGAGTATGGAGTTGTATAAACTGAAACTTGATTACAAATGGCAAAATGGCAGATATTTTTTAGCCATTTGTAGAGATTCTCGCTTTCTGATTTTACCTATGAGATAGTGGGTAGAATAGCAAACACCAGAACCCATTTTTTTTAGGAGAGGATCAAATGGATCAGGTCTTGCTGTTCTACCTTTTCCTCTAGATCGCTGGTGTAAATCTTACACAGTATATTGTAAGAAAATATTTTTCTGAATGGAATTCATTGTGTCGTAGCACTAAGCGTATTTTCTTCATTTAATCTTCAGTTGCTGTAACCTACCCTTTTCTCTTCCGTTTAGGTCACAAATCTCAAAGGGAAGAACTAGATGCTATACTTTTTATTTTTGAGGTATGGATACACAATTACTTCTACTATACCATGAATATAAATTTATTTTGGTGAATTTGTGATATATATTTTCTTATAGCCTAAGTGAAAACTTGTAAAAATCCAGAATTTACTCTCTAATAATTCCATGCTTTTTACACTTTAGGTTTTAATTAGCTTCTCTTTCTTTCTCTTTCAACACTGGCAGAAATCAAATGCCAAAAAACAGAGAGTTGTAGAGAGGGTTGTCTTGAGACATAATCTAGATAGTAGTTTTAGGTGAAACAGAAACTTGTGTATTCAGAAATACTTCTGATTTACTGCTAATGGCATTATCTTCAAATTTAAAAACATGCGAAATTAACTCCTAAGTACTTTATTAAAAATGTGGATATTTGCAAAGTAAACACTATCTCTTCTGTTCATAGGTTTCTTTGTATTACAATAATTGTGTGTTTCATGTATAGAATTCTATATTCTAGTAACTATAGATAGCACATACACAATTTCTTTCCTTGCTTTCAGCTTGCTTGAAAAAGTGGAATTTTCAAATAATTTGAATTAAACAATAAATATTGAGAAATCATTTTTTGCTTTCAGCATATGAAATTATTCAGATTTTTCACAAAAGAAAACTTAACTCATACTAGTCTGGATTGTCAATTTGCTTTAGCCCCATGGCAGTCATACATATTTGTTGCAAATTTTCAGAGTTTGAGATCTCAAAGTAGGCAGCTACAGTAGATGTATTTGCACAACATGTTATATCATTTGTGTGTTAATTTGAATATCCAAATTGCCTTCAGACATCTATATCACAAAGTTCATTAGCTATGTCATGGCTAATTAAAAGAGCTGAAAATACATCATGGCTAAGCATGGGACAAGAGCAAACTATAATGTGTGCATTCACAATAACCAGAGCAATTTAATGTTTCCTATATATGCACCTATAAATCTGATTATTCACAAAAGTAACAATTTTATTATTTCAAAATATGTATTTTTAATTAGTGAAATGGCATGATTAGTTTTTGCATTTTTCAAGCTATTCTGATGTTGAATACTGGAATGGAAAACATTTATTCAAGTTAAAAAGCTTAATAGAATCTAGAACAGGACATAAAAAACTGAAATAATAAACATGGAAACTATGGTCTTCAATTAGTGTTTTAGATATAGACAATTTACGTATTACTTTATTTAATAGATTTTACTTAATTTTATCACATTGGCTATTTGTTTCCATTCCTAGTGATTGATTTGTTTTCATTCTGTTTTGTAGAAAATTTTACAACTTCTTCCAGAAAGAATTCACCAGAGATGGCAATTTCACAGTATTGGTATGTATTTGCCTTTGAGTCAGGCGTTGCCTAGTAATAATTTTTCTGTCCTTGACTCCTATTTTGAATTTAATGTCAATGTGATTTAAAAACTTGATTACACTATCGTCTTAGCAGGAAAAAGGTTGACAGTTCTAAAAACTAGAGAGATTTCAGAACTAATGTGAATAAATCTCATGTGATTTATTGAAATGATGGTATTCTTTAGTGTGATTGCAATGCTAGACATATATTAATCAATAGTGGGTCCAGTATGGATGAGGAAAATAATAGGAGCCATGTAAAGATAGACGACATTGCCTTAGAGCAAATAATGGGAGCCTGTGGTCCTCTAGGTATTATGAACTACAGTCCTAGATTAGGGAAGCTACATGTAGCAATAGCTAGAAGGCCATAAGTTATTTACTTCTTGATAAGAGTTTACAGGAATGTCTTTTGTAACTAATTGAAATATGTTAAGAAAGTTTCTGTGGGTTCCTTCCTTGTGTTCTCAGAGCTTGGTTTTATTCTTGCAACTGTTTCATTACCAGTGCACTGATAATATTACTTAATTTGATAATGAAACATCTGCAAGAAAAAAAACTAAGCTCAGAGAGCACCAAAGACCCCACAGTTCAACCCTGAGCTAGAAGTATTCTCTTCTATAAGATTCTGTATGAATACTTATTTATATATGGGTTTTATATTATTTATGTTTATTAATTTAATTTAAATTGCAATCTTAATATTTTATAAAGAATGAACCTCCTATTATTAGTATAATCCTGTAATGCCCTTTGTAATGCCCATACAAAATCTATCAGTGGTACATTTTTTCTTTCACAAAAGATGACTTTTTTAAGCTATCAAGAATATACTATTGTGTATGTTGTGTTTGTTTGGAAAATAGGGGTCTCGTCTGATTCAGTGGGTAAAAAGGTGATCTTTTGAAACTTCTGGTATTTAGCCTATTACCAGTTGGAATTAAGCTCACCAAAAGTAATCTAGAGATTGCCAAGGACTTGTTAAAAAGACTTTATCAAGTCTGACCGACAACTCTCACAGTTCTGTCTTAACCTGTAAAGGGATGAATATTAACTGTACTGTTTTCTATTTTTCAGGCTTAATTTTAAAGAAATTACTTCACACAGGGAATTCTTTAAAGGTATGATTAAAATGTTTTAGATATAAAATCTAAGAACTGGAGACGTGGATATTTTTTGTAATACAGCTAATCCTTGATTTACAACTGTTCATTTAGCAACCATTCTACGTTATAGCAGCACTGAAAAAAAGTGACTTATTGCCACTCCTCACACTTATGACTATCATAACATCCCACAGTGATGTGATCAAAATGCAGGCGCTTGGCAACTGGCATGTATTTATTGCTGCAGTGTCCTGGGTCATGTGATTGCCATTTGCAACCTTAACAGCCAACTTCTGACAAGCAAAGTCAGTAGTGGAAACCAGATTCACTTAACGATCGTATGATTCACTTAATAACTGCAGTGATTCTCTAATCAACCATGGCAAAAAAAGATTGTAAAATCGTGTGTGACTCACATAATAGCTGCCTTGCTTGGCAATGGAAATTTTGGTCCCAATTGTGATAGTAAATTGAGGACTACCTGTATTGGGTCAGAACTTTAAAAATCTTGTTTAAGATGTCTCATTTAATGTATTGGGAGTATCTCTAATTGTTATTTTAGCACTGGAATAATATAACTGAACTGTTCAAATTTATCAATAAATAAATGTGAAATTTAAACTCTTTTTATTTCATTATTTAAGATTCGTCGCGAAGGTGTCCGTCTATTCCTCTTATGGTTGCAAGCACTTCAAAATAATTGTAGTAAAGAACAGTTGTGTATGTTTTCTTGTTTAATTCCTGGATTTCCACCACCACAGTCTGAACATGGTCCTCAGACACTAGATATTCTCATAAATCCTGTGCTAAATGTACAAGAAAGTAAGTATAAAAGGTGCATTTTCTAAATAAATAAATAAATTTGTGAGGGTTACTATAATCTCAAGCATATTAACTCAGAAGTAATTCCTAGTTTTATAGTGTTTTTGCATCCTTGAAATTGGTGCTCTGTTGGAGTATGTCAGTCATTATGTATAAAGTAAGGAGTAAATATATTCCTGTCCCTTGTGAGGGCTGAAACCTCCTCAAGTATTCTCCATGTGTTTCATGCGAACTTTAATTGATGCAAAATATCAACTAGCCAACTGTGTCAGGATCATTTTATACAGAATACCAGATTCATATTTGTGCTGCAAGATCTGCACAGTTTGGTTTTATTTGTTTGCTGGTTGTTTTTGATGTGAGCCTGACCATGAACTAACATCTGAGAACAAATGCCTTCTTATAAATGCTCAGAATTTCAGAGGTCAGTTGGTCAAGTGTAGAAGAGAGAGACTTCACATTGCTTTCAACTGTACTTGGACTGTACTGACTTTTTGCTTTTAGGAACAGTATCAAGAGACATGATTTGGTTTGCTTGGTTAACAAAAAACCATTACATTTACTTGAGACTTAACAGTGATATATATTTTGTTAATGGCTTTGAATGATTGTGGGAATGTAAGGGATGGGATACGTACTGAAAAAAACAAGCATGAATAGATAATTCTGAATTATGGCAAAGGCCTCTAGTCCAACCCCACAATCACCCATCAAATCTGTGTGTTCTGTATTTTAATTATTCTTAACCACATTAAGTGCTTATTTGAACAGAAAGACAGAACATTAAATTAAATAGACTATTAAATAAAATAAAATAAATAAGCCTAGTATTCTCTTTATGTTTCTCAATAAGTATTATGAAGCATACTATTTCTGATGTTTGTAATCTATGCATTCTTAAGAGAAACTGGGATGGTCCTAAATGTTACAGGATTATGAATAATATCCTGAAGATTACAGTTCATAGTTGTCAAAATTGTACAACTGAATATTCTTCTAATGCTGCATCTAAGTAAGTTTCATTGTGTGATTATGTACTGTATATAAGCTGATAGAACTCCATTTTAGGCTTTTGCCAACTTAAATGATCTTAATATTTATTATTGAACAGCACAAGTGACTGTAGAAGAAATTACTCCACTTGTCCCTCCACAGTCAGGAGATAAAGGACAGGATGATCTGACAAGCTATTTTTTAGAAGCACTTTTAAAATACTTAGTAATTCAGGTAAGTTGGTTGTATTTGAGTGGGGGAAGAGAGATTGGTTTTCCAACTTAAACCAAATTTACTAATTGGATAAGATTCAATCTAATGCAGATATCTTTGTTCTCTAATAAAATGAACTTATGTTTATAAGTATTTTTAAGAATTAGGAATTGAAATGTTTGGTTAAAATTAATAAATATAATATATATTATGTACATTAGAATATAAATGTTACAATAACTTTATATTAGTTATTTACTAATCACATTATTTACATAAATATGGTTTTTTTAAAGAGCAATTCTATAAATGAAAGAAGATATCTTTATTTATTACAATAATTTTTATTAAGATTTCATGGTAATAGTAGCCCCCCCAAACAGTTTACAAGTTGTATAAACAATTATAAACAAAAACACAATATATATTATAAAAATAAACTTCCACAATCCTTCTGATAGGGAAGTTGATGGTGGTAATTGTCTTTCCTGCCCCTGAAGTTATGCTTCTGTTTTTCGATTCCTGGAAATAAATGAAATAAGGTCAGAATTTCAACCCCATCTTATTGAAAATTCAGTCAAGATGCAGTCACACTGAAGAGCTGCTACTATATCTTGCTGAAGGACCCAGAGATTAAGAAGAAATAAAATCACAAATCTGGTCAGCTTAAAATAGGAACATACTAAAATGCAGAAGGAAACAGATGGAAATGAGTGAAAATAACTATTAATAGCATAGAGAGTTGATACATTTGAAATATATAATTGCATTATATCTGCCTCTGAAATAAATATAAATAATCCAACATTCATATTGTAGGTCAAAAGTCTGGAATGGAAGAACAGAGAAAATCAAGAAAAGGGATTTTCATTCTTATTTTCACATTTTAAGAAATATTACTTGCCTTATATTTTCCCAAATATGTGTAAGGAAAACAGCTTGTATAACCCAGTACTCGGTAAGCATTATTTAAATGTTTTTGAGAAGCATTTTCCTGGTTTTAATAGAAATGAAAAAACAATGCCTTACTGATTTGTGTGGCAGGTATCTCATGCAAGTTAATATTTTATTAAGTATGACATTATAAAGGGCAGTATTAACTTGAGGGTCATTATAAAGAACCGCAGCGTCATATCACATGGTTTTTATCAAGCCTGCAGATGACAAGGAAAGATCCAGCTCACAGGTCCATATTTAGCAAAGAATATTTCAGTAAATATTACATTTGATTAAAAACTTCTGATTATTTTTAAAAACAATTTGCTAAATTGCAATTGAGATAACTTTCTGCTACTGTAAGAAGAAAGGAGACCCATTTCAGGGAAATGGTTGCTCAGTGAATAGATAGTTACAGACCTTTAATTGAAGAACATTGCATCAGAGATATGGACTTGTATTCCAATAAGATTTTTGGTGTAAACTTACAAGTCCATGGGATAATGAGTATACAGTATTCTCTTTGGATCAGTGCAACTCTCATTGTCAATTTCTATACAGCAGGTGTCACATTTGATTAAGGTCGAATGTCCATTAAATCAATAGTTTCCCCAAAACCTAACCATCCCAAATATAGTAAGATTGGAGAGTTACATCCTTTCTCCATCCTTTCCTCAGCAACATCCAGTATGGCATATTCTACTGTCCCTTCGGCTCTCAAATCTTCTAGTACCTCCCATTCTGTCCCTCTAATTCCTCTTAACTGCTTTTCTAATCCCAAGGAATGAAAATAGAATCACACATAGAATATTAGAATATTTACAACTGCTTCATTAAGAGCCATTTGAGATGGCAGCTATACACATTGAATAAATAAATAAAATAATTTGCTTATGTTTCATAGAATACAAGTATTGGAAGGTTTTTTGGGAGATCACCCAGCTCAGTCCCGTACCTTCTGCAGAATTATGACATGTTTGCATTGAAACCTTTAAATATTGGCCATTGTGCATTTTTTTAATCATATTTAGGTAACTAGTTATCCAAAATTAACTTCGGCTTGATATCTTTTTCATCTTATCGTTGTTTCTCCCGCAGATATGCCTCAGATGAGACCAAAGCCACATTATATAATCATGAAGAAAGATACTGAAACAAATGAAACAGTGTATTGCACAAAGGAACCTTTCCTTAAAGCTCGCGTTATTGTCATCAGATGGTTGGTGTCTTTCTGGCTTGAGCCAAAACCTCTTGCAGGACCTCAGATTCCTGGAATGGAAGGGGAAATTGTGCCAAAGAATATTCAGGTAAAGCCAAGAAAGAGAGATGATCAACTGAATGGGAAAAAAAGCTGATCTTATTTATTTAATTTTTTTCTCACTTTTTTCCCAAATAATTCTAGATGGCAAATATGGTCTCCTCTTTTATCCTCACAGCAGTCTGTAATGTGCAGGGGTAGTCACCTTGGCTCTTTTATGACTCGTGGACTTCAACTCCCAGAATTCCTGAGCCAGCATAGCTGGCTCAGGAATTCTGGGAGTTGAAGTCCACGAGTCATAAAAGAGCCAAGGTTGACTACCCCTGATTGTAGAATAAGCTTTGCAACTGGAAATAAATGGCTAAAATATCTTTCTTTCTCCCTGCCAGGCCTCTTCCAAAAAAAAAAAAAGATCTTTTTATTTGTCATTTTCATTTTTGGTTTCAGAGGGCAGCTGCTACTTTGGCGTCCAGAGAAGACAGCAGAAGTGACGCCACTGAAAGATCTGATAGAAATCCAGAAACTGAACAATCTCATTCTAACACAAGCACACTGACTGAAAGAGAACCTAGTTCCTCCAGCCTTTGCAGTATTGATGAGGAGCATCTTACAGACATTGAAATAGTCCGAAAAGTTTTTTCTTCTAAAAGGAGTAATGTTAACTTTCTCACAGAAATATTTCGTCAGGTAAAAAAAAAAAAATCCTTTGTTTCTGAAAAGTATTTATGTTTGAATCAATGTTTATCATAGAATCTGTTCTGTGTTTTACATAACGTTCACAAATGTAGATTGGTTTTATTATATTCCTAATTTATAGATCAGTGGTGGCGAACCTATGGCACGGGTGCTAGAGGCGGCACTCAGAGCCCTCTCTGTGGGCACAGGCGCCGTCGCCCCAGTCCTAGGCCTTCAGCTGGGTTTTATAAAACTTTTTCGCTTTAGGCTTCCGCCGCCGTGTACAAAAAAAAAAAGGTTCAATCAATCAGTCAGTTTCAACTTCTCGTAGGAAAAAAAAAGAACTTGCAAAGTTGGAATTGATTGATTGAACTTTTTAGTCCCACCCAGTCTGCCATTACCACCATAGCCACGCCCACCCAATGGGCCACACCCACCTGGCACTCGACGATGCATAAGTGGATTTTGGGTTGCAGTTTGGGCACTCAGTCTCTAAAAGGTTCGCCATCACTGTTATAGATAGTCAGAGGCAAAATCTCAACTTACAATAATTTGTATCAGTCTCCCTGAACTGAATACTCCCTGAACTGAATACTCCATTAAGCATAACATCACAAAATTTTTGAAGCTGTAGATGCAGGTCATTGGATAGGGGCGGCAGCTCTACCAGTCATAAACTTCTGTTTTGTTAGCTGAGTAGATAAGATGTCACGAAACCTTTAGGAATATTTTGTTGTTGTTGAGTCTAATATCTGAAACATTATAAACTTTTTTCTTCAAATGAAGGAGCTGAGGGGGAAATCCTACATATCCTATAACAGGGGTCCTGTTATTTATTTATAGATTTAGAGGCTGTATGACTCGGGAGACTCTGGGCGGCCTGCAGCTTTAGAAGCAAGAAAACAATGATAACATAAACACAAATCATAGATTATTATTATTATAGGTAGTCCTTAACTTACAACCATTCATTTAGTGACTGTTCAAAGTTACAAAATCACTGGAAAAAGTGACTTAGATCATTTTTCACATTTACGACCACTGCAGCATCCCCATGGTCACGTGATCAAAATTCAGATGCTTGGCAACTGATATGTATTTATGATGGTTGCAGTGTCCCAGGGTCATGTGACCATCTTTTGCAACCATCTGACAAGCAAAATCAATTGGGAATCCAGATTTTCTTAAGAACCATGTTATTTACTTAACAACTGCTGTGATTCACTTAGCAACGATGGCAAGAAAGGTCATAAAATGGGGCAAAACTCACTTAACAACTGTTTTGCTTAGCAATGGAAGTTTTGGGCTTACCTGTATATCTACTGTAACCATATGCAGTAAACACAGCATTTTATTTGAAATTTTACTGAATGAGGATTTTCATTACAACAGTTGATAAAACTATTTATTCCATAGTGCTGTCAAGAATGGTAGACCTGTTGCCAACTTTTTGCCATTCATGTGTTAATTTTTATGTATTAATATCGGTATTCTTAATTTATTTCTATTTGATTTCTGTTTCCATCTTTCCCCTAAAAAGCAATTATAATTTTCCTGCTAGCTTTCATTTATATACACATTAATAATACGTATTCTTCACAAAATCATCAAAATGTCAAAAGCAATATCACGGCTGTGGCGTCACAAGTTCTGCCCTTTCACATGGGCTTGCAACATCATAATACACATAAAAGGAGGGGGGATTTCCATTATTTTATTTATTATTTTATTTATTTGTTTGTTTTGCTTATTTATTTATTTATTTTGCTGCCCATCTTGCTGCAAGGCGACTCTGGGCAGCTTATAATGTTAAAAGCAATAAAATCATAAAAATATATTGGTTTAATAACAATAAAAATACAATTTATGATCAAAAGATGGGGAGGGAGGGAGCAGGATGTGCAAGGGGAGGAGTGGAATTTTTTATTGGTCCATCAACCACCTCCAGTGTGATATTCCATCATTGGGGCCCCAAGCCAACTGGCAGAGCCAGGTCTTCTGACTCTTATGGAAGTCAGGAGGGTGAGAACAGATCCCACCTGGGTGGGGATGGGGAAGATGTTCCAAAGGGCAAGAGCCATGGCAGAGAAGGTTCTTCTTCCGGATCATGCCAGCTGAAATTCTTGACTGACAGGTCCGTAGCATACCTGCTCTGACCGCATGGGTGGAGCAGACCAGTCCCATTGGGTTGAGATAGTTCCTCGGGCAAGCTGGACCCAGCCAACACCATGAATTGCACCAGAGTCAAACTGGCAGCCAATGCAGGCCCCAAGGACTGCCCACGCTGCTGCACTCTGCACCAGTTGTAGGTTCCAAATGTTTTTCAAGGGTACCTCCATGTAGAGCACATTATTTATTTATTTATTTATTTATTTAACAGGATTTATATGCCGCCCTTCTCCCCATGGGACTCAGGGCGGCTCACAGCGTATTAAAACATCATACAAAAAATTTCCCCTACTAAAAACCAATTAAAACCCAAATATTGGTAGCTGTGGCTCTTTAAAATCGTTAAAAATTGTCCCTATTTAAAACTCACCCTAGGTC